GACAAGACCGTAAAAAGCCAAACATGTCCGGCTAAAGCCGGACACCTGGCAACCCTAGTCGCGGAAGCACCTGGGTGCGGGAAGCGTAGGACCGGTTTTGTGGAAATTTTTGGGGGAGGCAGTGGACATTATTTGGCTGAAACGAACGAACGAACGTCAAAATCACAAAAGTACTTGTTTTTTTCACTTCGGTTTTTTTTACTTCGTAGTAAGCACTTGCTTAATAGCCCTCTACAATGCGACCCTCCCATAAAATTTACATATTAATACTATTTTGAAGTATTCTTTTCCATATCTGATATTGATTATTATCATTTAAGAATTTTATTGCCTCCCTAATGTACAGGCTAAATTAATAGACTCAACGGGACTAAGCAGTGAACTCTAAAGACAAGGGCTGCCACAATAGATCAAACCTGGTCGAGCTGGCGCAAATGAAGGCCCAAAACCAATAATAATAATAATAATGTACAGGCTGCAGCCCATCCAACTATAATTAACTTTTTTAAAAAATAAAACCGACTTCAAATGCGTGAACACAAAAAAAAACTAAAAATTAAAAATATTGCGTATAAAAAAGTTCATCCCCAATTTTCCTCCCTTGGGGGTGAAATATTTTCTTCAAATTCGCATGAAACCACCCTTTTGATAATACCTATTCAACAAAAAAATAATCGTTCAAATTGATTTATAATCGGCGGAGATATTGCGTATAAAAAAGTTCATCCCCAATNAGGACCCTCTTCATGCGATTAATTAATGATATTAAAATGTATTATGTAGAATCGCTTTGCCATTGACAGATACATCTGATGACAGAGCTTACATTATTTCTACTTTTGACCACCATGAGCGCTGCGATAGATTATGTCCCCCCCACCTAGTACTTCGCACCCAGCGAATACCTCTTTATAACTCAATTTGATTTGGACTGAATTTTGTTTTATTTAGAAGATAAATTAATTTAGGTTAGGTACCTACTTACTATACCTGCGCAAACTAACTTTATTATACTAAATTTGCTAAATTAAGCTTAATCTCGGAAATATCGAAAATACCGGATTATCGGTATTCGTCTGGAGCCAATACCGAAAATACCGGTTTTGCTGAAATGATTCGGTATTGCGACCCCTACTCGTAACTGGTTGGTGGATTACAAAGAAAATCTGTCCCGACACAATACACAATGTGTTGCAACTCGATCATAAGTCAATCATTATTTCTGACCAATCAGAGTGACTAATGGGNTCATAATTGGCGGAGTTATCGCGTAACAAACATAGAAAAAAAAAAAACATACGGGTCGAATTGAGAACCTCCTCCTTTTTTGAAGTCGGTTGAAAAATGCTCGTAAAATAGCTCTTACTGCAACGGGACTATTCCCACCTCGTTCCCACCGCTGCAACTCCTGTGTAGCCAGGATCTGGGTCCCCTACGTAGTGTTGAATGCTGATATGCTTACTCCCGTATTTACAAACATTACTATTAGGTCTGGTCTCACAGTGCGCGTGGACGCACAGTGTGACATCGAAAAACATTTCAATCTTCTTCCTGTCGTGTCGACAACAAACCTACACAGCGTCGGCCCAAATATCCGCCACAAGAATGGCGTTGTCAGTAGCCTTCATTAAATCTTTCACCAATTTCAATATACGGGATAAAACCCAGTACTTCCTGGTCGATAGAGAGAAATGACCACTAGACCATAGAGACTTTAAATTACTTTTAAAGCAACTAAGTACAAGTATGTAACCTCCCAAAAATAGTACCACTCATTACTAAGTTGGGTAAAAAATGCCAAAAAAATGGTAACGGCCTTCGCTTTTTCTTCACAGCCGTAACCTTGCGTGTTTCATTTGAACATTTGGCATAGGCGCTGATTGCTTGGTAGGTAGGAATGAAAAACATCTTGGTTTAGTTGCAATTTACGCCCTTTGTAAGAAGGACAGTTAAAACTTAGGACAGTTACGACTTAATCATGATCTGAAATATTGAATCCTACTAATATTACAAAGGTGAAAGTTTGTGTGGATGTTTGTTACTCTTTCACGCAAAAACTACTGAATGGATTTGGTTGAAACTTTACAGTATTATTATTTGTAACCCAGATTAACATATAGGCTATAATTTATGCCAATCTGTGGCACTAAATTTCACGCGGGTGAAGACGCGGGCAGAAGCTAGTAGTTACTGAATTATTTTAACTTCTTCCGGGTAGAAGAGTTTTGTGGAAGAGGTTGCTTTCTAGCGATTAGACCGCCTCAATAGTTCCGCTTAAATGTTTCGGCAACTTTTTTACACTTTTCTAACTAGAATGCATGTATCCAGTACGTCCATAGCTTTAGACGTCCACCTACAAGATGGACAGTCGACCTTATAAATGTAGCTCAGGATGGCGCTGAATGCAGGCCGCTACTAACCGGTCAGTCTTGAAATCTATGTTCAGCAGTGGACGTCCTGTGGCTGAAATGATAATGATTTTAGTTTTACTTGCATGTCGAACCTTAACTTCGAACATCTATGTTCTTCTGATTAACTTCGTTACGGGTCTAATGACAGTTCAACTTTCCCCCGGGACAAACTTGACCTTCACTGGTTGGGTTTTTATTGGCGGTCAAGCTGTAGATCCTGGCTACACAGAAGTTGCAGCGGTGGGAACGAGAGGTGGGAATGGTTGAATTTGCATGTGTATCGTCTCCTTAGTAACTAATGCGAGTTAGGCATAAACAAAAATTTGTTTTATCTTTTATCATAATTAGGGAATAAATTGCTATAAATAACTGCTCGATAATAATTAGATAATAGCGTAATTAGACATGATTAATTGCTGTTAATTGAATGCGTTGACCCACATTTGATAGGTCTTGGAAATTTTAGAGAGATAGCTAGTTGTTTATTGTTTATATCTTTGTTATTAGTTGTTTTTAGAGTTTTAAGTGATTTTGCGAGTTGTTTTATTTGCACAAAATTGTAACTATCAATCAAAATCAAATATATTTTATTCAATTTGTCAATTCAAATCACTAGTGGCACTTACGAACGTCAAATAACAGTAAGAAAATAGAATAGAATAGAAAAGGTATATTGACACAGTAAAAAAAGACACAATACAAAAAAAAACAACAAAAACACATAATATGTAGGCTATTAAAACAAGAGGTGAGAAAAAACTGTACCAATAGGCACCCGCTCAGCGTTAAAAGCATTAAAAGGGCCATTTTAAATGTATCCTTATCTTATGGGCCCTACCAGCGCTCTGTCTATTTGTTTACCAAATACTGACCATCATATCTGTGGTTTATAGTAGTAGAAACAAGAAAGGATGGGAAAGAAAGGTGGAACTAGTCCCGGTATCTCCCTAAAAGTGGCAGTCGCTTGTTTATTTCAACATTTTCAGCCTAATGTTGTCCACTGCTGGACAAAAGCATCCTCCATAAATTTCCGCAGCGACTGGTCCTGCGCTGTCCACATCCAGGTGTTTCCCGCGACCTTTACCAGATCGTTAGTCCACTGAATGCAAGGCCTGCGGGTGGCCCGTGTTAGCCACTGGAGAACTTTTCTGCCCCAACGGCCATCAGCTCTACGAGCTATGTGCCCCGTCCACTGCCTGGCAATTCTGCGGGCTGTATCTGTTACTTTGGTTCTCCTACGAATCTCCTCATTTCTGATTCGATCTCGTTAGAAAATTGCATTAATAGCTCGGCTTATCCCAAATAAACGTATCGGTGGGATTTGTCCCGAAATACAGAAATTGTGACCTCTCACTATAGGCCTTAGGCCGACGCGACGACCTCATAAAGGTAGCAGGAAGGCGCTGGATGCAGGCCGCTACCAACTGACCATTGGGGGAGGCCTATGTTCAGCAGTGGACGTCCTGTGGCTGAAATTATGATGATGATAATGACAGGAATCGCAGTGATGGAAAAGAGAGGTAGGATCAGGAGGTCAACTCCGACTGTTCACAGTTTCGAGTCTATCTGTCACCGTCACTCATGCTGGCATATCGCTATGAATGAGAGGGATGGCAACATTCAAAACTTCGGACGTTTCTCGGAGTAACCAACGCATCTAATAATGCGAAATGCCAAGCTAAAATGGGGTTAATAAGTACTGCCGGTATAGGTCACAATCACAAGGTAGCATTTCCCGGTTACATAATATTCGCCTAGCCTTGCCCTATTTTGACCGGGATTGGCTTTCTTTTGCCGCAATATTATCCGCGCCAATGGACTTAGAAAGTTTTCTTATAATAATAAAAGATCTAAATTATGTTAGGTGTCGAATGTCGCAGTGATTATTTCTTTTTGCTATAACCGCACGGATTTCGAGCGTTCGGATAAAAAGATGGGTTGTGAAATAAGTTATTTACATATCTGTATAACTGACTATCTTACCTCAAACTGCCAGAATACAAAAATGCTGCTAACATTATTGTTATGGCGACAGAGTTGGGCAAGGAGAATTAGAAAAAGCTCTTTCACCAATCCAACACCATTTCCGAACATTTTGCTCCAATTTGAATCGAATCTGGGACCTGACAGACAGAAGGCAGTCTCACTAAGCCACTACATGTCGATAATAAAAATCAAACCTGAAATCGCGATGCTGCAACGACAGAATCTCATGATTAAAAGATCAAATGCAAAGAGTCGCCAAAATGTGATAGTTTTTTTTTTTAAGATTATTAGTAAGTTGTTATTGCACAAATTACTAATACTCCCGTTAGCCCCTCGTTCTAAATATGCTTGTGTTACGAGTGAGCTCACCACAATAGTCAAGCGGCGGCGAGGACCGAACCCGCGTTCCCCGGATCACGAGTCGGCCAATCCGACCCCTTCACCGTTCGGGTATCGTGGCTTTTATTTAAGTTATTAATTAAGTTATTTCTTAATAACACCCAGAGCGTATAATAGGAAGACTTAATCCGTTACAACATTATCTACCAGTTAACCTTGAGGCAATGCAGAGATGAGTCAATGATTGTTGTTTCTTTGTTGCAGGGAGCAAGAGCCAACCTGCGAGAGGGATTCGCCCTTCAAGCACCAGGCGGCGCAGCAGTCGAATAGATCAGGCAAGTGTTTTCCTCACTTTCTTCACTCTTTCTTCTTCAGCACCAGCTGATATGTTCTCCCGAAGTGGTGGTAGGGCAAGCTATATTGGGACGTGTTTATGTGTCCTGAAAAGGGCCTATATTGAATTTAGTTGCTTAGGTACTTTGAGGCTGGATGGCGCTGTGTGAAATTGTCCAAAGATATCTCGGTAAATTTAAAAATTGTTTGTTGTTGAACCTTAAGGGCTATATTTCACCGGGACACCATGGCGGCGCAACCAGTCGCCGCTACCAGCAAAATGTATACAGCTTTGCGCAACCAAACGGACACCAGGTGAGTAACTCTCTATAGAGTTGTATACATTTTGTTGGTAGCCGGCGACTGGTTGCGCCGCCGGTGTCCCGGTGAAATATAGCCCTAACTTCGAACTCCTATGTTCTTCTGATTAATTTCGTTGCGGGTCCAATGACAGTTTAACTTTCCCCCGGGACAAACTTAGCCTTCATTGGTTGTGTTATTGGCGGTCAAGCTGTAGATCCTGGCTACACAGGAGTTGCAGCGGTGGAAACGAGAGGCGGGAAAAAAGCCCTAAACTGAAAGTCATTTTGCAGAATTTATAAATGACTTATGACATACCTGGTTCTCCTTGCAGAGTCGTCATCATCATCGGCCGACACCGCGTCGCAGGGCTCGGGTTCCGAGGCTGGCCCCGCGCCCGCGCCGCTACAGCGGGCGAAGCGCCATGAACCTCAGGTGAGAGCTCATCATCATCATCAATGATAACTACCGTTGTTCTAGTACTATGCCATGAACCTCATCATCATCATCTCAGCCATAGGACGTCCACTGCTGAACATAGGCCTCCCCCAATAATTTCCATAAAGGCCAGTTGTCGTTACCTTTATAAGGTCGTCGGTCCACCTTGGTGGACATCCTACGCAGCGCTTTCCGATACGTGGCCTCCACTTCGGAACCTTGCTGCCGCATCGGCTGTCAGGTCGGCGTACTATGTGAACAGGTTCTAATTAATTATTTAATTGAATAACGCTCGTATTTACAAACGATGCTTGCTTCAGTGAAGCAGCAAATCGAACGCACAGTGTTGAAAAAAGCTCTGTGATTGGTTTATGTGTCACACTGTGCGTCCACGCGCACTGTGAGACGTCATAGTAATGAGGCGGGCGTTAGAGCCTAATAATATCTCTTTTCTTTAAATAGCAAGACACTCTTTACTCAAGTCAGAATATTACGAACTCGGGTCTAATGTACGACATTATGTGAGCTCAGGCTGAGAGCTTTCGGCTCATTTAACTTGGAAACCCAGCGAGATGCGAAACTTGATTCTATGTATAACCTTAGCTTACACAACCTTATCTTTATCTCCACTACGCTTCGGCAATTTCGTACATTCTTATGTATGAAGCATTTTTCACAATGGTTGCGTTTTACGGTCTGCGGTCAGGTCAAATGAACGCAGCCCGCACTTGTCAGTTTGCGTTCTTTGCTCTGGCCCATAAAAATTGTCGAGACTGACAATGTTGTTCATACATCATGCGGGCTGCGTTCACTTGGCCTGATCGCAGAGCGCATCCAGTGTGGCAAATCCTTTAACAGCACTATTTGCAAGTAATACTTTAAGGCTGATTTGCACCACCTGATTTGAACCGCAACAATAATCGATGCTTTCTGTATGGATTTTGACAGATTTTCGACTTTTGTCAAAGTTAAAGTAAGATGGTGCAACTCAGCCTAACTAAATATTCCAAGCAATTAAAGATATTTTTGTTTTTCATTTTGGTTTCGAATAACGGGTTCGCATTAAATTCAGTTTTTACGTTTAGTACGACTTATTTGACACTTATTGTTTATAAGTTGGCCATTTAATTCAATATGCTCATAAATTACATGTTATTTTCAGAGAGAAGAAAGGCGCGAGGAAGTCGCAAATGCGCCGCGAGTCCAGACCAATCCTCTGCTGAGGTAAGAGTCATCATCATCATCATCACTTTATTTCAAAGAACCAATAGTCCAACGATTCCCATCGACCGCTGGACTGTTGTAGTGAACCCACACACAAGCATTTGCTGCAGGGGTTAACGGGAACATTAGCAATTTGTGGAAAAAATCTAAAGGGGTTGCTAAGATAGGCTAAGCCTAGGCGCTAGGCACTTTTAGTTGGCCGATAACGGGACTATTCCCACCTCTCGTTCCCACCACCGCAACTCCTGTGTAGCCAGGATCTACAGCTTGACCGCCACAAAAACCCAACCAGTGAAGGTCAAGTTTCTCCCGGGGGAAAGTTAAACTGTCATTGGACCCGCAACGAAATTAATCAGAAGAACATAGGAGTTCGAAATTAAAGTTCGACTTCCCTCCATTGCAAAGCGGATGACAGGTGACAAACAAAGGTTTAAAACCTTTAAGAAAAGATTATGCACCACGGACAATAAATATCAATTAAGGGGGCCTATCTTATGAGTTGGCCGATAGTTGGGCCGGCAGTTAAAGCCTAGGCGCTAGGCACTTTTAGTTGGCCGATAACGGGACTATTCCCACCTCTCGTTCCCACCACCGCAACTCCTGTGTAGCCAGGATCTACAGCTTGACCGCCACAAAAACCCAACCAGTGAAGGTCAAGTTTCTCCCGGGGGAAAGTTAAACTGTCATTGGACCCGCAACGAAATTAATCAGAAGAACATAGGAGGAGTTCGAAAAAGTTCGACTTCCCTCCATTTCAAAGCGGATGACAGGTGACAAACAAAGGTTTAAAATCTTTAAGAAAAGATTATGCACCACGGACAATAAATATCAATTAAGGGGGCCTATCTTATGAGTTAATCAGTATGGAGAATTGGAGATGTATGATAGTGCGCACATAACACCGATTGATTCTTCATACAAACTAGAATCGGGCCCAACTATCAGCCTACAAAAAGTCTGTGATCTGCGCCTAGGCTAAAGATAGATGTTTTGCGACTGCATCAATGCTGAATCGCGTTTGTATAAAACCCAACTACGACAAAAAACGTCGCTGAAAAAGTATAAAACAAGATTATCAGAATACTGAACTGACCAAGTTGTTAATGTAGTTGCATAGTAATTTTCATGTTTGGAAAACCGCAGTCACACGTTGTCAAAGTGCCACGGTAGGTAGGTATATGTGATAATGTAACGTGTGACTACGCCGTAGATTTTGTGAAACCCCATATAGCCTATAACCAGCGTACAATTAAGACGCTTCTAATGATATGTTATTTGTCGAATTCTGATAAGTACTCGTAGTTTAGAAGTTACGAGGGAACAGATGAACATACATACATACATAGCCTGTCAAAATCATAACCCTCCTTTTGCTCTGCCGTAGTCGGGTAAAAACACATTACCACTCCTTTGCGTCGCGCAGTCGGGTAAAAAGGGCCGTAACATAACCCTTCGGGTAAAAAAGGGTGCTTGTTAGTAAGCATTTTAGAGCTTTTCAATCGCAGTCGCGCGTCAACCGTCGTACATTAACCATGCCGGCGTGGCATGCTGAAATATCTGGCATTCGCACTATGTGCGTGCGCGTACTTGCTGCTTCTGACCCGGTTTTTGGCCGAATTTTTGCACGTGCTACGGAATTTCAGGTTGTACATCGTAAAATATATTTTTAGCCTTGGCATTATCAAATTATGCAAGTGTGCTTTTCTTTTTCGAATATATCCAAGATAGGTACATGTATTTGTAATCTCGTGACATCACTGTACACGTTGAAACTGCAAGCAGTGTCCCATAGTACGCGTGTAATGTGACGTCCGCGCTCATATATTTCCATAAAAAGTTTAAATGCTTGTATAGTTTTTGGTTCCAGATGAATTTCAATATTTAGGTAGGTTTTACAGAAATTCTAGAATTAACATAAGTGTTTATTTATGAACTTTGTGGGACATAGATACCGACCACTAGATTACTAGAGGATGTTAATTACTATCTTTCCGAGCGGGTGTCGTCTAGCTCAGGGCGGGGACCAAGGTCCAATTGTATCTCCAACCATCTTAGTCGGAAATATTTACTACCGCGATGCAGGTTTGTAGGCGTGGACGCGTGTGTCATAGTAAGCATCAGAGCCATCTGTTGAGTGATATCTGTCACTAGCTTGTAGTGGCGAGTCGATAGCCCTATCTATACTAATATTATATAGCTGAAGAGTTTGTTTGTTTGTTTACTTGAACACGCTAATCTCCGGAACTACTGGTCCGATTTGAAAAATTCTTTCAGTGTTAGATAGCCCATTTATCGAGGAACGAGGCCACGATCAATAGGAGCAGAGCAATAATGAAAAATGTTGCGATTAACTTTTAAAAAAAATAAAACCGACTTCAAATGCGTGAACACAAAAAAAAACTAAAAATTAAAAATATTGCGTATAAAAAAGTTCATCGCCAATTTTCCACCCTTTAGTAAATATTTTTCATAAACAAGCTTTTGATGCTGTAAAAAGAATAAAATAAAACATAAATTCTTTCAAACCCATCAACTTATTACTTTACTCAATTTAAAGATTAAAAACTTGTCGCGGGATTTACTAGTGTAAAAAATACATTAATTACGTAACTTGATTTTGCTAAAAGTCTGATCTGAGAAAAAATCAAATAGGTAAATTATACATTATTTCTTTATTATTATGTATGATGTACTGTCTTAGGTACGATACAACTACGGATTAAGATCGTTTAGTCGACGCAGCGTTGAAATTGTACAGATAAATGCAGTTTGCGCACTCACTACGCGACGTCAAGCAATAAAAACCTAAAATTCGAACGCCAACTTTTTGCTACAACGCTCTTAATAAGTACTGCCGGTATAGGTCACATCACAAGGTAGCATTTCCCGGTTACATAATATTCGCCTAGCCTTGCCCTATTTTGACCGGGATTGGCTTTCTTTTGCCGCAATATTATCCGCGCCAATTGACTTAGAAAGTTTTCTTATAATAATAAAAGATCTAAATTATGTTAGGTGCTCGAATGTCGCAGTGATTATTTCTTTTTGCTATAACCGCACGGATCTCGAGCGTTCGGTCAAAAAGTTTTAGTTTGCGCTTGTTGATTTCTTGTAAAATAAATTACCTATTTAACATAGGTTTTACTCGTAGCTTCGTCCGTGTGAATTTCTGAATCAGAAAGACAATACCACCGGCCTATACTGCTATGAAAAACCGAGAGAAAATCTAATCCGGGACCTCTGAGGCAGAATCTAATCACTAGACTTGACTCAGATCACTTAGGCTAAGTTGCACCATCTTACTTTAACTTTAACAAACGTCAAAAATATGCCAATCTCCAAACAAAAACACCGGTTATTGTTATAGTAAATTAGTGCAACTCAGTCTCAGTTTAGAAACAAGTACAAGTTATCATGGACTGATAATGCAATTTATGGTTGTCGTTTCTTTGTTGCAGGGAGCAAGAGCCAACTTGCGAGAGGGATTCGCCCTTCAAGCACCAGGCGGCGCAGCAGTCAAATAGATCAGGTACGTATCTATGAGTATATTGATTGACTTGACATCTTTAAAATTATGACATCAAATACTTCCAGTTAAATTAAGATTTTTCAATATTTCTGAAATTATTAACACTAATATGCATGCCGAATTAATAAATAAATGTTTGTAAAACACAATGTTGCTGTGCCCAAACCGGGTCTATGTTTGAGACTATACAATATATTGTTTAAGACCTTATGTACAACATAGAATGCAATAAAGATTTTGAATTTGAATTTGATATAGTTCATCCGCGAAGACGCGCCCCACCATTCTTCCGCTGATGTTTTAGTGTTATCGGTAACAGCTAAATCGTCTATGAGTGCACACGCACACTACAATAATGACGCTCGGATTGCTCGGATCAAACATATTTGGGACGTGTATAAGCGCTATGGAAAGGACCTAAGTACTGAATAAAAGCTTTGACTTTGACTCTGGCTGTGTATGGCGGGCATATCTATACTAATATTATAAAGCTGAAGAGTTTGTTTGTTTGTTTACTTGAACGCGCTAATCTCAGGAACTACCGGTCCGATTAGAAAAATTCTTTCAGTGTTAGATAGCCCATTTATCGAGGAAGGCTATAGGCTATATACATAGCTGGGCATTAACTCGTTAATCCGTTAATCATTAATTAACGAAGTTAACATTTCTATTAACGGATTAACTTTTAAGTTAACTTTAAAAAATGTTAACGGACTCGTTAACTTCCGTTAAATTATCCCAGGTCCGTTAATCGTTAATCCAGTACCTACTATTTACCAAAAAGATACAGCAGACACGCTGAAAAACGCACTAGGTGCAGAACAAAAATGATTTTCACGCGTACGAAGTCGCGGGCAGTGCTAGTAAGAGTATATTCCGCATTGATATGATAAGAAGCCCATATTCTTGTTTCTCCTTGCAGAGTCGTCATCATCATCGGCCGACACCGCGTCGCAGGGCTCGGGCTCCGAGGCTGGCCCTGCGCCCGCGCCGCTACAGCGGGCGAAGCGCCATGAACCTCAGGTGAGAGCTCATCATCATCATCATCTCAGGGGCCGTTCAAGTATTACGTAAGCAGATTTCTTACCATTTTTTTTATAAATGTTTTTTTATATTGTCATTTTTAAAATAGGAAAATTCATGAAAATATTAGGTTTAACTGATACACATAGAGTAAGGGACAAAAAAATATAATCAGAAATAAAGAACGTAACAAACATAATTGCATCAATTATGCATCAACATAAACACAAATGATAACTTTCAATGCTTACAATACGTTTAGTATCCAAACAAAACACGCGCGCGGGACACCGACCTCGCGTATAATATGCGGACTACGACTCTCAAATTTCAATGGGCAGTGCAACGAGAGTTAATTATTAGACAAGTGAATAGCGCACGGTAATTTCCCTAATGTGCGGTAATTTGCCTAATCAGTTCTCAAAGCGAGTGCCTACGCATATGTATTATTTGCGGGAATCCCCGAAAAAACGATGACGATAACGATGACGTAATCATCATCTAGACCCCCTACCCCCTATGTCATCCAAAATAAGCAAAACGGAGACCCCCCCACCCCCCCTTGGTGCTTACGTAATACTTGAACGGCCCCTCAGCCATAGGACGTCCACTGCTGAACATAGGCCTCCCCCAATGATTTCCATAATGGCCAGTTGTCGTTACCTTTGTGAGGTCGTCGGTCCACCTTGCGAGTGGACATACGCTGCGCTTTCCGATACGTGGCCTGCACTTCGGAACCTTGCTGCCGCATCGGCTGTCAGGTCGGCGTACTATGTGAACAGGTTCTAATTAATTAATTGAATAACGCCCGTATTTACCAACGATGCTTGCTTCAGTGAAGCAGCAAATCGAACGCACAGCGTTGAATAGAGCTCTGTGTTTGGTTTGTCACTCTGTGCGTCCACGCGTACTGTGAGACCTCATAGTGGTGTTTGTGAATACGGACGTTAGAGCTTTTAAAGGTCATTACTGAAAATAAACAAGCTTATGAACTTTACCACCTAATAATATAACAACAATGTTAACAGCATTGTTGTGTTCCGGCAGTTAGAGGTAAGATAGCCAGTTCCTCCGTGGTTGAGGATTCCGGGTGAAGCACGCTTCCATCTTCGGCCTGATGGTAATCAAGTGAGCGTGAGATACAGGCCAAGAGCTTCCTCGTTGTGGATAAAAAAAATATCTGTATTTTCTTTAAATAGCAAGACACTCTTTACTCAAGTCAGAATATTACGAACTCGGGTCTAATGTACGACATTATGTGAGCTCAGGCTGAGAGCTTTCGGCTCATTTAACTTGGAAACCCAGCGAGATGCGAAACTTGATTCTATGTATAACCTTAGCTTACACAACCTTATCTTTATCTCCACTACGCTTCGGTAATTTCGTACATTCTTATGTATGAAGCATTTGTCACACTGGATGCGTTTTACGGTCTGCGGTCAGGTCAAATGAACGCAACCCGCACTTGTCAGTTTGCGTTCTTTGCTCTGGCCTGTAAGGTCAGATCGCATCAATAAAAAATTGTCGAGACTGACAATGTTGTTCATACATCATGCGGGCTGCGTTCACTTGGCCTGATCGCAGAGCGCATCCAGTGTGGCAAATCCTTTAACAGCACTATTTGCAAGTAATACTTTAAGGCTGATTTGCACCACCTGATTTGAACCGCAACAATAATCGATGCTTTCTGTATGGATTTTGACAGATTTTTGACGTTTGTCAAAGTTAAAGTAAGATGGTGCAACTCGGCCTAAATATTCCAAGCAAATAAAGATATTTTTGTTTTTCATTTTGATTTCGAATAACTTTATACCACGGGTTCGCATTAAATTCTGTTTTTCACGGATAGTACGATTTATTTGACACTTATCGTTATAAGTTGGTCATTTAATTCAATATGCTCATAAATTACATGTTATTTTCAGAGAGAAGAAAGGCGCGAGGAAGTCGCAAATGCACCGCGAGTCCAGACCAATCCTCTGCTGAGGTAAGTCATCATCATCATCATCATCATATTTATCATCAGCACCTAATTTCAAGGCACCAAACGATCCTTATCGACTGCTAGACTATTGTGGTGAACCCACTCCTAACACAAGCATTACCTGCAGGGGTTAACGGGAATATAACCCAACCAATGAAGGTCAAGTTTGTCCCGGGGGAAAGTTAAACTGTCATTGGACCCGCAAAATTAATCAGAAAAACATAGGAGTTCGAAATTAAAGTTCGACTTCCCTCCATTGCAAAGCGGATGACAGGTGACAAACAAAGGTTTAAAATCTTTAAGAAAAGATTATGCACCACGGACAATAAATATCAATTATAAGGGGGCCTATCTTATGAGTTGGCCGATAGTTGGGCCGGGCAGTTAATCAGTATGGAGATGTATGATAGATAGTGCGCACATAACACCGATTGATTCTTCATACAAACCAGAATCGGGCCCAACTATCAGCCTACAAAAAGTCTTGATCTGCGCCTAGGTTAAAGGTAGATGTTTTGCGACTGCATCAATGCTGAATCGCGTTTGTATAAAACCCAACTACGACAAAAAACGACGCTGAAAAAGTATAAAACAAGATTATCAGAATACTGAACTGAACAAAGTTGTTAATGTAGTTGCATAGTAATTTTCATGTTTGGAAAACCGCAGTCACACGTTGTCAAAGTTCCACGGTAGGTATATGTGATAATATAACGTGTGACTACGCCGTAGATTTTGTGAAACCCCATATAGCCTATAACCAGCGTACAATTAAGACGCTTCTAATGATATGTTATTTGTCGAATTCTGATAAGTACTCGTAGTTTAGAAGTTACGAGGGAACAGATGAACATACATACATACATAGCCTGTCAAAATCATAACCCTCCTTTTGCTTTGCCGTAGTCGGGTAAAAACACATTACCACTCCTTTGCGTCGCGCAGTCGGGTAAAAAGGGGTGCTTGTTAGTAAGCATTTTAGAGCTTTTCAATCGCAGTCGCGCGTCAACCGTCGTACATTAACCATGCCGGCGTGGGATGCTGAAATATCTGGCATTCGCACTATGTGCGTGCGCGTACTTGCTGCTTCTGACCCGGTTTTTGGCCGAATTTTTGCACGTGCTACGGAATTTCAGGTTGTATTAATCGTAAAATATATTTTTAACCTTGGCATTATCAAATTGTGCAAGTGTTGTGCTTTTCTTTTTCGAAAATCTATAGAAATACTCAAGATTTTGTGTTCTCGTGCGTGACGTCACTGTACACGTTGATACTTTAGCATGGGCGCATGTAGTGTGACGTCACGCTCAGGTAATTCCATAAAACTTTTAGTCACGTGTATCTTTTTATTTCTAGTTCGATTTCAGTAATTTTAAAAGGAAAGAATAATCTTTATAAGGACATTTTACGCATGTGATAACTACCTTTTGACCGCGACTTCTCCCGGGCGATTTTCGGTCTGTCACAAGAAAGTGGCAAAAACTTCTAAAAGCCAGGATAAAAACTGTTTTACTCATGCCCGTTTTCACCATCAATCCCTAATTTTTAAGTGACCCCTATGGTAACACATAACATGAATTTTGTTTTCATAGGGGTCACTTAAGAATTAGGGATTGATGATGAAAACGGGCATCAGAGTCTCAAATCAAAGACTCTGTACTAAGTAGTTTTAGTGGTTTAAGCGAAGGAAAAATTATCCAGGTTTTTCTGACTATGATGAGAGATAAATGAGGACTTTAGGAAAAACATAGGAGTTTTATCCCCGTACACTTTCGGTAAAGACTGGCAGCATTGATGGGACCCAATGAGGGCTATCGTTTTAGCGCTCACCAGTTTGCGCCACTGTAGAGTAAGGTCCTGTCACTTGCTAGTAGCGAAGACAGTGGCACCAACTGGTGAGTGCTAAAGTGGTAGGAGGACTATCGCATTTGCACTCATCAAGATGGCGCCACTGTAGAGTAACGTCCTGTCAATCGCCAGGGGTGCCAACTGTTAAGTATAAAAACGATAGCCCTCATTGAGTGAGCATTTCTCTCACCAGGTCGCGGACCCTCCCAAACTTCGGCGGGCGCGTGTCACGCGAGGCGTCCCGCTGCGACACCTCGCGGCGCGCGCACCACATCACCATGGCGTCCGAGGACCTGCTGCAGCCCGGGCACGTGGTTAAGGAGCGGTGGAAGGTGAGCTTTCTGCCGGGGGGTGAGCATTTTGCCGCCGGCGCTGCGAAACTGGCGGCATTTTGATGAGGGGCTACGGCGTGGTATTTTTCCGGTGATGACCGGCATTTTGCCGCTAGGCACTATGATGGCGGCATTTTGCCGTTGGGTGCTGTAATAGCGGCATTTTACTGTGGTTTGGGTATGCAAGTTTGAAATGGACGGAGATGTTCAGTGGATTTACTTAGTTCTAAATGTGGCAAAACACCCACTTAGGATATGAATTATGAAACGTCCACTGAAAGATATTTTCAGTCACACAAATCGTATAAAGAAAAGAAAAAAGCTAAAAAAAGCATTATTAAAGGTATCAGCTCTCTAATGGTTTAAAAAGGATCCTGAAAAAGGGATCTGCAAATACCTCTAAGAGCGCTTTCACATTAGGGCGTTAGTAGCGCGACTGCAGCGACTTTTTATAATGTGAAGGCATCCGCTGTCACATAGTATGAAATTTTCGGCAGCCCGTCTGTCGCGCGTTTGTCGCGCTGCTAAATCGTCTAAATGTGAAAGCGTTCTTAATGTACTTCTAATAGTTCAGTATTTACAAAGTCTTCTATATCCCCAGGTGGTGAAGAAAATCGGCGGCGGCGGCTTTGGCGAGATATACGAGGGTCTCGACCTGGTGACCCAGGAGCAGGTGGCGCTCAAGGTGGAGTCGGCGCGCCAGCCCAAGCAGGTGCTCAAGATGGAGGTCGCTGTACTCAAGAAGCTGCAAGGTGAGAAAGAGAGAGAGATGATAGGGAGAAAGAGAGAGAAAAAGTTCCAGGTCTATATGAAAGAAGAGAGACTACGTGAGGGTTGGAATTAAGAGACACTTCAGGTCATCATTGCACGAGCTACATGAAGCGCTGACCCTGGTAGCAGTGGCTGCGTTAATCTAAGCACCAGCTTAGGTTCCACTTTCTGAGCAGCTTCTACTGGAGCACCTGCTCAGAAGTAGCTCATAACGGGGATAGGAGCTAGTAGAAGTTAGCTGGAGCTAAGCGCTTCTGGTACCATCCTGAGGGGCTAAACTTAGGAATGGTGGGCAAAGAGCACTCATGGTTATGCCATTCTGACAGCTTGATAGCTGTCATAATGACTAAGAGTGCTCTTGATGCCTCGGCATCAGACAGTCTAGACTTAGGTCTTCTAGCGGTGGGCAGAAGCTATAGTTCGTCATACTCAAGGTGATTAGGAAGGTTAGATGCAAGCTGCAAGGTGATAGGAGAGGAGATCTACGAGGGTCTGGAGCTGGTGACTCAGGAGCAGGTGGCACTCAAGGTGGAGTCGGCGCGCCAGCCCAAGCAGGTGCTCAAGATGGAGGTCGCTGTACTCAAGAAGCTGCAAGGTGAGAGAGAGAGAAGATGAGGAGAGAGAGAGAGAGAGAAAAAAAGTAGGTTCTGGTAGGTGGCAGATTGGGCTTGATCCAAGTCCGCCTGGCTAGCTACCACTGATGGAAAGTTCGATTCCAGCCTTGATCATCATCAAACTGGAATCAGCGCGTTAATCTAAGCACCTGCTTAGATTCCATCTTCTAAGCACCTGCTCAGGAGCTGCAAAGTGAGAGGAGCGAGAGACAGAGAGAACATGAAGGTTCGAGATGGTTCAGGTCATTATTGCATTAGCTATATGAAGAACTGGACCAGAGCGTCAGCTTACAGGTAGCCTAAAATAATTCCTGGTCATCATAGCAGTATAAGGCACCAGACAGTCTAAGCTTAGGTCTTCTAGCGTTACACTGAAGAACCTGGTGTTGAAGACACTTTAAGGAGAGAAAAGTACATAAGGAGCTAAATCTAAAAGCAGTAATCTTGCAGCTCAGTGCTCCTGGTCATCATAACACAAAGAGAAGGACTTAGGTCTTCTGGCGGCAGTCTAGTCTAGACTGGTTTTCTAGCGGGCNCGCCGGCGCTGTAAAAGCGGCATTTTGCTGGAGGTCACTGCGCGGCAATTTGCCGGTGAGTATGGTGTTTTGCCGGTGAGGACGGCATTTTGCCGCTAGGTGCTGCATTTGCTGGGGGTTACTATGCGGCATTTTGCCGTTGGTGGCGGCATTTTGCCGGTGCTGGAGGCATCTCTCTCCCAAACTTCGGCGGGCACGTGTCACGCGAGGCGTCCCACTGCGACACCTCGCGGCGCGCGCACCACATCACCATGGCGTCCGAGGACCTGCTGCAGCCCGGACACGTGGTTAAGGAGCGGTGGAAGGTGAGCGTTCTGCCGCTGAGTGAGCATTTTGTCGCTGAGTGAGCATTTTGCCGCTGAGTGAGCATTATGCCGCCTTTGTTATGGTATTTTAGCTGAGGGGCTTCAGCATGGCATATTACCGATGAGGGGGGAAATTTTCTAGTCGATGGTGGCATTAGGCCAGCGAGCGTGGTATCAGGCCGGCGAGGATGGCATTTAACCGCCTGTGCGGTGATTGTTGCATTTTACTAGGAGTTACGGCACGTTGCGGCAGCATTTTGCCGCCTGTGTTGTGATGACAGCGTTTTGCCGCCGGTGCTGTGTAGGCAGCACGGTGGTTTGATAGAGAAAAAAGTCGCTTTAAAAAAAGGCCTAAAACACTCCCAGAAAAAGGTAGAAAAGTAGTTAAAATATTGTATTAACATAGTCTTCTATATCCCCAGGTGGTGAAGAAAATCGGCGGCGGCGGCTTTGGCGAGATCTACGAGGGTCTCGACCTGGTGACCCAAGAACAGGTGGCGCTCAAGGTGGAGTCGGCGCGCCAGCCCAAGCAGGTGCTCAAGATGGAGGTGGCTGTACTCAAGAAGCTGCAAGGTGAGCGAGAGAGAAGATAGGGAGAAAGAGAGAGAAAAAGTTCCAGGTCTACATGAAAGACTACGTGAGGGTTGGACTCAAGAAGCTGCAAGGTAAGAGGATGAGGATTCTATAGAGAGATAACGCGAGGGCAGGAGTTAAGAGACGGTTCAGATCAGGGCTCCTAAGTCCAGTCCAGCAGTCAGCTTAAGTAGGTGCTCAAGATGCTGGATGGTGGAGGCTCTGGTCATCATATGGCACGGGAGACTGGATCTAAGAACGATGGGCTGAAATAAGGACCCTGTAAGTAAGAGCATCATGCGTATTTGATGTCTGACAGTTTAGACTAGGAACTCTTGGAAGCAAGGAGTGTGAAGTAAAAGGTCGTGGTGCTTAAGAGCTGTTAGGTATAGATTCTGGTAATCTTCACGATTCAAGGCGCGTAAGCTCCTGACCATTTTGACAGTAAAGACAGTTAGAGGTATCAGACTAGACTTAGGTCTTCTAGCAATGGGCTGAGGAGGATAGTCTAGAAGCTGCTAATTGAGAGGCGAGGAGATATACGAGGGTCTGGACCTGGTGACCCAGGAGCAGGTGGCGCTCAAGGTGGAGTCGGCGCGCCAGCCCAAGCAGGTGCTCAAGATGGAGGTCGCTGTGCTCAAGAAGCTGCAAGGTGAGCGAGAGAGATGATAGGGAGAAAGAGAGAGAAAAAAAAGTAGGTTCTGGTAGGTGGCAGACTGATAGGGCTTGATCCAAGTCATCATCATCAAGCTGGAATCAGCGCGTTAATCTAAGCACCTGCTTAGATTCCATCTTCTAAGCACCTGCTCAGGAGCTGCAAAGTGAGAGGAGCGAGAGACAGAGAGAATATAAGGGCTGGAAACGGTTCAGGTCATTATTGTATTAGCTATATGAAGGACTGGACCAGAGCGTCAGCTTACAGGTAGTCTGAAATAATTCTTGGTCACGTAGCAGCATGAGGCACCAGCCAGTCTAAGCTTAGGTCTTCTAGCGTTACACTGAAGAACCTGGTGTTGAAGACGCTTTAAGGAGAGAAAAGTATATAAGGAGCTAAATCTAAGAGCAGTAATCTTGCAGCTCAGTGCTCCTAGTCATCATAACACAAGGAGAAGGACTTAGGTCTTCTGGCGGCAGTCTAGTCTAGACTGGTCTTCTAGCGGGCTGAATATGGAGGTCGGTATACTCTAGGAGCTGCTAAGTGAGAGGCGAGGAGATCTACGAGGGTCTGGACCTGGTGACCCAAGAACAGGTGGCGCTCAAGGTGGAATCGGCGCGCCAGCCCAAGCAGGTGCTCAAGATGGAGGTGGCTGTACTCAAGAAGCTGCAAGGTGAGAGGGAGAGATGATAGGGAGAAAGAGAGAGAATATGAGGGCGGGCGTTTGAGATGCTCCAGGTTTACATGAAAAGAGAGAGACTACGTGAGGGCTGCAATTTAGAGACATTTCAGGTTATCATTGTACGAGCTACTTGAAGGGCTAGACCTAAGAGCAGTGGCTGAAGGTGGAATCAGCGCAATCTAAGCAGGTGCTTAGAATCTGTGAATAGAGTAAAGGAGAGTACCCAGATAAATGAGGGTAGGACCTAGGAGAAGTTAGCTGGAGGTAGGCGCTCGTGGACCATTATACCCCTAACGATGGTACCAGGAGCCCCTACACTACCAAACTTAAGAACGCTGCGCTCAAGGTAAGCGCTTGTAGTGATTATGATAGCTTGGAGCATCAGACTATTTAGACTTAGGACTTCTAGCGATAGCCTGAAGATGGAGTTCGTCATACTCAAGCCTTTTAAGAAGTTGCAAGGTCAGAGAGAGAAACTATACTAAGAGGTGAGAGAGGGAGGGAAGTAGTATGAGAAGTACTAGTATCTAGTTAGCTAGCCATCATTACGACGAGGAAGCTCTTTTGGCTTGACCGAAAGGTTCTCAAGATGGAGGTGACCTTGTTGAAGGAGCTGCGTGAGTGTTCAGCACAGCACGAGGCACCAGACTATGGAGACTAGCGGCTTGGAAGAAGTGGTCTAAGATAGAGGAGGAGTGGAGAGAGAGAGGGAAAGAGAACTTGTAAATCCAACTCTCAAGTCCAAGGTCGTCATAGCATGAGCTACATGAGAGCCTAGATCTAGAAGCAGTAGCTGGAGGTGGAATCTAAGCAACTGCTTAGATTCCATCTTCTAAACAGCTTCTGAGCACCTGCTCAGAAGCTGCAAATTGAGAGGAGAGTATCTACTTGAATGAGGGTAGCCTAGAAGTTAGCTGGAGGTACCATCATGGGGTGCTAAACTTGGGAATGGTGGGCACTCCTGGTCATATGACAGCACGACGCTTCAGTCAGTAGCCAAAAAGTTCGCAACACGTCTTTGTTACAATTGGAATAAGGTTGTGTTGTTAACTTTTTGGCCACTTTGGGTGTCACCAAGTATTTGAGCTTACTTCTTCGCTCTTCCCTGATGCTATTTGAATCATCATCATCATCATCTCAGCCATAGGACGTCCACTGCTGAACATAGGCATCCCCCAATGCTTTCCATGTTGCCCGGTTGGTACCGCCCTGCGTTCAGCGCCTTCCTGCTACCTATATGATGTCGTCGGTCCACCTTGTGGGTGGACGTCCCATGCTGCGTTTTCCGGTATGCGGCCTCCACTTCAGAACCTTGCTGCCCCATCGGCCGTCAGTTCTGCGTACTATGAACCCTGCCCATTGCGACTTCAGCTTGATAATCCGTTCGGCTATGTCAGCGACTTTAGTTCGTTCGCTATTTGAATAACCAGTCAGTTTTCGTTATTTTCTGTCTTCACTTCTGATTGGTTATTCAAATATTTGCTATAGACACAATAAATAAATGTAATATTTTTTATTCTTACAGGCAAAGAGCACGTCTGCCGCTTCATCGGCTGCGGTCGCAATGCTCGCTTCAACTACGTGGTGATGCAACTCCAAGGGCGGAACTTGGCGGAACTACGCCGCGCCCAGCCGAGAGGCGCCTTCTCACTGTCCACCACGCTTAGGTAATCATCATCATCATCATCATCATCATCATCATCATCATCATCATCGTCGTCATCATCAGCTCATGGTGATGCCTCATCCAAGGCCAAAAGATAACTGAGCTAGAGGTCATAAGGCACCTTTTTGCTGTCTCTACCACCCTTTAACATTATCATCATCAACTACGTGGTGATGCAACTCCAAGGCCCAAACTTGGCGGAGCTACGCCGCGCCCAGCCGAGAGGCGCCTTCTCACTGTCTACCACGCTCAGGTAATCATCATCTTCATCGTCATCATCATCATCATCGTCGTCATCATCAGCTCATGGTGATGAGGCTTCAAGGCCAGAAGATAGCGGAGCTATAGTCTGGTCCGTGAGCGCGTAGAATTTTGTCCAATGACCCCTAGCTACCTATCCTTATCGCTCGCGCGTAATTATGTTGCTATTGCGCTCGCACACTCACTGCGGGCGCCCGTCGCACAGTCGCGACAGCAATATAATTACGCGCGAGCGATAAGGATGGGTAGCTAGGGGTCATTGGACAAAATTCCACGTGCTCACGGACCGGGCTTTAGCAGCCAAGAGGCGCCTTCTCACTGTCCACCACGCTTAGGTAATCATCATCATCATCAGCTAGTGGTGATGAAGCTCCAAGGCCAAATAGCGGAGCTAGAGGTCAAGAGGCGCCTTCTCACTGTCTACCACGCCCAAGTAATCATCATCATCATCATCAGCTCGTGGTGATGAAGCTCCAAGGCCAAATAGCGGAGCTAGAGGTCAAGAGGCGCCTTTTCACTGTCAACCACGCTCAGGTAATCATCATCATCATCAGCTCATGGTGATGAGGCTCTAAGGCCAAATAGCGGAGCTAGAGGTCAAGAGGCGCCTTCTCTTTGTCAACCATACTCAGGTAATCATCATCATCATCATCATCAGCCCGTGGTGATGAGGCTTCAAGGCCAGATAGCGGAGCTAGGGGTCAAGAGGCGCCTTTTCACTGTCTACCACGCCCAAGTAATCATCATCATCATCATCAGCTCGTGGTGATGAAGCTCCAAGGCCAGAAGATAACGGAGCAGCCAAGAGGCGCCTTCTCACTGTCTACCACGCTCAGGTAATCATCATCTTCATCGTCATCATCATCATCATCGTCGTCATCATCAGCTCATGGTGATGAGGCTTCAAGGCCAGAAGATAGCGGAGCTATAGTCTGGTCCGTGAGCACGTAGAATTTTTTCCAATGACCTCTAGCTACCTATCCTTATCGCTCGCGCGTAATTATGTTGATATCGCGCTCGCACAGTCGCGACAGCAATATAATTACGCGCGAGCGATAAGGATGGGTAGCTAGGGGTCATTGGACAAAATTCTACGTGCTCACGGACCGGGCTTTAGCAGCCAAGAGGCGTCTTCTCACTGTCTACCGCGCTCAGGTAATCATCATCGTCATCATTATCATCATCAGCTCGTAGCAATGAGGCTTCAAGGCCAGAAGATAACGGAGCTAGAAGTCAAGAGGCGCCTTTTCACTGTCTACCACGCTCAAGTAAATATCATTATTTTAGCCACAGAGCCTCCACCAATGATTTCCTGAGTAGCTGGTTGGCAGCGGCCTGCATTCAGCATCTTTCCGCAACCTTTACGAGGTCAGTCAGGTCTACCTTTTTTGTGGGTGTCACACGTTGCGACGTCATCAATTCATCATCCTCATCCTCAGGTCATTTATTCTCCACTGCAGAAGACGACACCCTCTAATTTACCAAATCCAGGAGGATTTGTCCTACACTCGCCACACAGGCCAGACGGGTTGGGGAGGCCTGATGCTCGCATATTTGTCCCTTAGTTGGCTTAGTTGCCTCTTACGATTTCCGCGGGAAGGGGAAGTGGTCCTATTTTACTCTTTACTCTGCCTATTTTTTTGTCTTTTCCTCACTTTGTTCTGCATAACATAATAAATTTTGTTACAGATTGGGTCTACAGATACTCAAAGCGATAGACTCTATCCACTCAGTAGGATTCCTTCATAGAGACATTAAACCTGTAAGTATAAGTAGAATTTTCATACGATTTTTTGTAATAAAAATATACTTAAAATCCTGTCTCAGTACCAGGTTTCACGACTTATTTGATGTATTGTTAAATCACTTACCGGGCTATCACTTGCTGTCACCACAAATAATATTTCGTCAATAGCTAGTGGTTAACGGTCTTTTCATAGTTTGTTTTAATTATTTCCGCGAATTAATAACAAAATTATACATCTAAAGCCTGGTCCGTGAGCACGTAGAATTTTGTCCAATGACCCCAAGCTACCCATCCTTATCGCTCGCGCGTAATTATGTTGCTGTCGCGACTGTGCGACGGGCGCCCGCAGTGAGTGTGCGAGCGCGACAGCAACATAATTACGCGCGAGCGAGCTTGGGGTCATTGAACAACATTCTACGTGTTCACGGACCAGGCTTTAGCAGCACTTACTCAATCAGTGCCTGTGGTATGGGAAGCATACAAATCTTAAGAAAATCTGAAATCTCGATGACGTTTGACGTTATAAAACCACACCCTCCCGTGCCTCCCCCCATACCTCAGACACTGACTGAGTTTAGCGTTAGACCTATTTGTAGCAGTTGACAGCCAACAATCCGTTATCATGACAGTTACAGCTCTGGAATGTTAGAAGCTATCATTGCTATAGTTCCAAAATACTGAACTGTCCTATGCATGAAATTGACAGTGGGGCGCCACCGTCAATACCGGATCGCTGGGTACGATTTTTGCCATTTTGGAAACCATATAGTTGAACGATGGTAGCGCCTCCCTGTCATTGAGTTTGGTGGGACAGTTCAGCGTGGGTCATCTATATCATTGCTATCAGGGTTGTAATTGTCATGACAACAGATTGTTTTCTGTCATGACGGCACTTCTTTCATATCGTTTATTTGCAAATTGATAACAAAATTATTTCGGTTAATAAAAGTACTTACTTGTGTTTCCTCAGAGCAACTTCAGCATAGGCCGGCACCCGAGCAACTGCCGCAAGGTGTACATGTTAGACTTCGGGCTCGCGCGTCAGTACACCACCAGCAACGGGCAGGTGCGGCCGCCGCGCGCCGCCGCAGGCTTCAGAGGTGAGCGGACTGTCTTAACGCGCTCACACAACGGTCTTGTTATAATTTTAACTAGGTAGTGGTAGGCCAAGCTATGTATATTTGGGACGTGTATAAGTGCCCTGAAAAGGGCCTATGTACTGAATCATCATCATCAACAGCCCTTTACAGTCCACTGCTGGACTATGAGCCTCCTCCACTATGGTGGAGGGATTTGCCATAATCTCCACGCTTGGCAGGCGGGTTGGAGATCGCAGTTTAAAAGATTGATGTTTTTCAGAGAGCGCTGCTGCCCATTCTCTGTTTTTTGTGTAGTCCCTAAGTCCCTCTTACGACACCCGCGGGAAGAGTAGGGGTTGGTGACAAATGTATTCTACTCTGCCGTCACCACACGGCGAACTGAATAAAATATTTGAATTTTGACTATAGTCACATTATCACGCGGTTCAAAATGAAGTAAAGCTGACTTCAAAAACTGTTTAGGGGTGAAATAGGGTTGTCTTCTAACGCTTTCATACCTGCGCCTGCTGACTTTAAAAACTGCTTCAGATGTGAAATAGGACTGTCTTAATGCGCTCACACAACGGTCTTGTTGGTTCTACGATTGTCCAAGACAGTTAGCTATCTCCCGGGATTACTCAACCTTCACTGGTTGGGTTTCATTGGAGGCCAAGCTGTAGATCCTTGAGTTGCCGTGTTAAAAAAGTGTGGATAAATTATTTTTCACCCACCCAACGGTCTTCTCATTAGGCGCCACCTACAAAATATATTATTACATCAACTGGTATCGGCTTGGTTACGCCACCAATTTGTTTCCGGCACTGTCGATATTAACATGAATTTTTCGATACTATTCTTAAATAAATACATATCGTATCGTAATAAATCTATATCGATGTCGTGGGCCGAACGGTAGTGCTTTCGATAGTTTGAGCGATTTATGCCCGTTTTCACCATCAATCCCTAATTTTTAAGTGACCCCTATGGTAACAAATAACAGGAATTTTGTTTACATAGGGGTCTCTTAAAAATTAGGTATTGATGGTGAAAACGGGCATTAGAGTCCTTCCATTGATCGATTTTAAGGTAAGTTTTAGATCGATTCTCAGGCAAGTTTAGACTGATTGATATTGTAGCTTAAAGACGATAATTGCTTATCTGAAGTCATTAGTAGACCTATATTCAGCAGTAGACGCCCTGACGATGAAATAGTGATACTTGTCTATATCTTCTTTCATTGGGCACGTTATTTGTACAACATCCTGTATGTATCATATTATGCAGAACACACTTATAAACACCCTATATTATAACACATGTGTTGTCCGCAGGCACGGTCCGCTACGCGTCCATAAACGCCCACAAGAACAAAGAGATGGGCCGCCACGACGACTTGTGGTCATTATTCTACATGCTGGTGGAATTTGTTAACGGACAGCTACCGTGGAGGAAGATTAAAGACAAGGAACAGGTGAGGCATAGACTAAGATGTCATAGACAATGATGACGTAATTCATAGACAATGAGGGTTTTCGCGAATGAAAAATCCGCCAGATGGCAATACGTAGACGCGAGGTCCAAAAGCTGCATGATTGGTCATTTTTGACATGACATTGACAGATATGTCAAAGTCCACCAAATACGCAGCAGTCAGACCCCACATCCACGTCCCGCCATCTAGCGGATCTTTCATTCGCGAAAACCCTCATTAAGCAGTTGACACTAGTGTTGCGGAAATATCAAGGACTAGGAACTGTTGGGATATAGACAATGGAATGTAATTCATAGACAATTGTTGACACTAGTGTTGTTGAATTATCGATATTCGACCTCGAAAAATACTCTGGGTATCGTTAGTGATTTAGGATCAATACTATCGATATTTTACGTCCAAAAATAATGGCAATACTATCGACATTCTTACGTTCAATACCGAGTAGAGGTAAATGAAGCGATTCTATTGGTTCTTTACAAACACATCCCTCGCTACGCATCCTCGCACATCTCTGGCGGAAACGCAGCCTTAATATGTAATACGGTACCTCTAGCATGAACGTAATCGAATCGTTTGCGTATTCGACAAAATTCGATACTCAACCTTCGAATTAAACGATAACGTGACAATTTTGATTCTCAAAATAAGTTTCGTGCAACCATTTCTCATACTAAGTTCACTTTACGACTCGTTCACAAGGGCGCTGTTGTAGTTTTCGTACTAAATCTTTTGATGGCAATTCGAATACGCCAACGATTCGAACTCGAAAGTTTTTCGTGTTCGTACCGATCTCACAGAAAGTTACCTAACATTTTCCATATGTCGGCCGTTTGGTGTAGTGGTTCGAAACGGACTACTATTCCGGAGGTAGCGGGTTCGATTCCCGCACAGTACAAACATTTGTGTGCATGAACATATTTGTTTGTATCGGACTGGGTGTTTTCTATGTATAATAAGTATGTATTTACAAAAAAAAGTATTTAAGTATGTTTATATTCGTTGTCTAGTACCCATAGTACAAGCTTTGCTTAGTTTGGGACTAGAAGCGTAGTGTAAAATGTCTAAGGATATTTATTTATTATTATATTTCTCTCACAGGTCGGCCTCATGAAAGAGAAATACGACCACCGGTTGCTCCTCAAACACTTGCCTTCAGAGCTGCGTCAGTTCTTGGAACACGTCCAACAGCTGGAATATGCGGATACTCCGGACTATGCCATGCTGACCGCACTGCTTGAACGGTGCTGCAAGCGGAGAGGCGTCAGGGATGCAGATCCTTACGATTGGGAGAAGGATGTAAGTGTTCTGAGAGCTTCTAGAAACTTCTAGGTCTATCTAGGTCACCTGTGGATAAGACAGAAGCCACACCATGCTCACAGCACTGCTGGGACGCGGCTGTAAGGCACGAGGCGTGTGGGATGCTGACTTATATGATTGGGAGAAGGATGTAAGTGTTCTGAGAGCTTCTGGAAGCTTCTGAGAGCTTCTAGAAACTTCTAGGTCCTTCTAGGTCACCTGTAGACACTCCGGACTGCGCTATGCTGACCGCACTGCTTGAACGGTGCTGCAAGCGGCGAGGCGTCAGGGATGCAGATCCTTACGATTGGGAGAAGGATGTAAGTGTTTTTAGAAGATTCCAGGTCGTCTTTGAGCTTCTGGAACCTTCCAGGTCACCTGTAGAATGGAGACAAGCCGATACTCTGCTTCTAGAAGAAATGAGGTCACTTATAGATAGTCTAGATTCTAGAACTATGCCATTGGGAGAAGGATGTAAGTGTTTTAGAAGATTCTAGGTCGTCTTTGAGCTTCTGTCACAGCTGGAGTGAGGTTACAAGCAAACTGCGACTAGGAGAAAGACGTCAATGCTTCTGGAAGATTCCAGGTCACCCATAGAGTGGAGACACGCCGATACTCTGCTTCTAAAGCATGTAGGTAATTTATAGACACTCCGGACGCCATGCTGACCGCACTGCTGGAACGGTGCTGCAAGCGGAGAGGCGTGAGAGATGCAGACCCTTACGATTGGGAGAAGGATGTAAGTGTTTTCAGAGCTTCTGGAAGCTTCTGAGAGTTTCTAGAAACTTCTAGGTCCTTCTGGATCACCTGTATACAAGACAGAAGTCACACCATGCTCACAGCACTGCTGGGACGCGGCAGTAAGTGACGAGGCGTGTGGGATGCTGACTTATATGATTGGGAGAAGGATGTAAGTGTTCTGAGAGCTTCTAGAAACTTCTAGGTCCTTCTAGGTCACCTGTATAGCGGAAACAAGCTCATAGCACTGCACTAAGAAAGACATGAGTGCTTTTGGAAGATTCTAGGTCATTTTTGAGCTTCTGGAACCTTCAAAGTTGACTGGAAAAATGATGGACTACGCCATTCTGACTGCACTGCTTGAACGGTGCTGCAAGCGGAGAGGCGTGAGAGATGCAGATCCTTACGATTGGGAGAAGGATGAAAGTGTTCTGAGAGCTTCTAGAAACTTCTAGGTCCTTCTAGGTCACCTGTGGACAAGACAGAAGCCACACCATGCTCACAGCACTGCTGGGACGCGGCTGTAAGGCACGAGGCGTGTGGGATGCAGACCCTTACGATTGGGAGAAAGATGTAAGTGTTTTCAGAGCTTCTGGAAGCTTCTAGAAACTTCTAGGTCACCTGTAGACACTCCGGACTACGCCATGCTGACTGCACTGCTTGAACGGTGCTGCAAGCGGAGAGGCGTCAGGGATGCAGACCCTTACGATTGGGAGAAGGATGTAAGTGTTCTGAGAGCTTCTGGAAATTTCCAGGTCATGTTTGTGCTTCTAGAAGCTTTCAGGTCAGCTGTACACTAGATACCACGCCAGCCACCCTTACAGCGCTGCTAGATCAAGACCATAAGCAACTTGAGACTANAATTGCTATATAAATAACTGCTCGATAATAATTAGATAATAGCGTAATTAGACATGATTAATTGCTGTTAATTGAATGCGTTGACCCACATTTGATAGGTCTTGGAAATTTTAGAGAGATAGCTAGTTGTTTATTGTTTATATCTTTGTTATTAGTTGTTTTGGGAGTTTTAAGTGATTTTGCAAGTTGTTTTATTGCACAAACATTGTATATATCTGTTTAGCAAAATTAAATACTGATCATCATAAAGGTGACTTACGCGGCTTACGCCCGAAATCACAAACATTACTATGAGGTCTCACAGTGTGCGTGGACGCACAGGGTGACACACGAACCAATCACAGAGCTCTATTGAACACTGTGCGTTCGATTTGCTGCTTCACTTAAGCAAGCATCGTTTGTGAATACGGGCTTGAGTTTCTTTCGCCACTTCTCGGCACCAGCCCATACGTAGTCCCCGAAGTGAAGGTTTTGATACGTGTAGAAGTGCCCTGGAAATAGGGTTGCCAGGCGTCCGGCTTTAGCCGGACATGTTTGGCTTTTTAGGGACTTGTCCGGCCAAATATTGCCTTGTCCGGCCTGTCCGGCTTTTGTTAGGCTTTTTATTTGGTTGCCGCGCCAGGCGAAAGTCGAGCCATAGAATCATATGAAGCGCACGCATCAGGATGTTGGTTAGCAACCGATGATGATAGTACTCACTCATGAGCTGACACTAATTACACCCCCCCCCGTCACATGTCCGGCCAAATCAAGCACAAAGTCCGGCTTTTGTGATTTTGGACCTGGCAACCCTACCTGGAAAGGACAAGGCCTGAATAGTGAATATTTTGATTTTGATATTAGTAGTTTATAGAAGTTCTGGTGGTGGGATTAGTCCCGATATACCGGATTTGCAATGGTGTCGCTTGTTTGTTTCAACACTTTCAACCAATGTTGTCCACTGCTGGACAAAGCCTCCTCCATAAATTTCCGCAGCGACTGGTCCTGCGCTGTCCACATCCAGGTGTTTCCCGCGACCTTTACCAGATCGTTAGTCCACTGAATGCAAGGCCTGCGGGTGGCCCGTGTTAGCCACTAGAGAACTTTACCGCCCCAACGGCCATCAGCTCTACGAGCTATGTGCCCTGCCCATTAACCAGGCACTGGTGGCCATAGAACTTACATCGATTTGAACTTTATGCTGTGAAGATACGGTTGAAATTGAAAACCCATTATTGTTTTTGAACCTGGTTTGGCATTTCCGCGGGCTATATCTGTTACTTGGGTTCTCCTACGAATCTCCTCATTTCTGATTCGATCTCGTTAGAAAATTGCATTAATAGCTCGGATTATCCCAAGTAGGTAAACGTATCGGTGGGATTTGTCCCGAAATACAGAAATTGTGACCTCTCACTATAGGCCTTAGGCCGATGCGACGACCTCATAAAGGTAGCAGGAAGGCGCTGGATGCAGGCCGCTACCAACTGACCATTGGGGGAGGCCTATGTTCAGCAGTGGACGTCCTGTGGCTGAAATTATGATGATGATAATGACAGGAATCGCAGTGATGGAGAAGAGAGTTAGGATCAGGAGGGCAACTCCGACTGTTCACAGTTTCGAGTCTATCTGTCACCGTCACTCATGCTGGCATATCGCTATGAATGAGAGGGATGGCAACATTCAAAACTTCGGACGTTTCTCGGAGTAACCAACGCATCTAATAATGCGAAATGCCAAGCTAAAATGGGGTTAAGAGCGTTGTCACATTTTTCATGCAGAAATCGAGAATTTGGCAGATTTCGAAATGATTTTAGTCATATAATTTATTGTTATAGCTTCTTTTGACTTATATCATCGTAATTATCATACGTTTTTACGGAATGTCTATTGACAAAATCTCGTTCAAATTGGATTTTTGCCTACGAAAACAGTGAATTTCGAAAGCCCGATTTCCAGGTAACTCGCGAAGGCACAACTTTGAACTAATATTACAAGAAATTTATTTCTAAGTAAGAAGATAGAATGTGTTCATTAGAATAAGCATACCCTGAAGAAGAAAGTGTATTGAGAAAATTTTGATGTTTAATTCATTAAAATGCATTTTTATCATGTCTAAGACAGTCAAAATTCGAGAAAATTACTGCAAGAAAACAGGTCACATCTCATAATCTAAAAGTCATTTGGCAACATAAAATACTTTATACTTAAGAAGAAACATAGTNCCCGGCTTCCCCCCCCATCTGTATACTCTAGGAGCTGCTAAGTTAGAGGAGAGGAGATATACGAGGGTCTGGAGCTGGTGACCCAGGAGCAAGTGGCGCTCAAGGTGGAATCGGCGCGCCAGCCCAAGCAGGTGCTCAAGATGGAGGTGGCTGTACTCAAGAAGCTGCAAGGTGAGAAAGAGAGAGAGAGAGAGAGACTATATTAAGAGGAGAGAGAGAGAGAGAAAATAAGGTTTGAGAGATGCTCAAGTCATTATGAAAGAAGAGAGACTACGTGAGGGTTGGACTTAAGAAGCTGCAAGGTAAGAGGATGAGGATTCTAGAGAGAGATACGCGAGGGCAGGACTTAAGAGACGGTTCAGATCAGGGTTCCCTAGTCCGGTCCAGCAGCCAGCCTAAGTAGGTGCTCAAGATGCTGGATGGTGGAGGCTCTGGTCATCATATGGCACGAGGAACGCGAGAGACTGGACTTGAGAACGGTAAGATGAAGGTTTAGATCAGTATACTCAAGTAGCTGCAAGGTGAGAGGAGAAGAGTGCGAGAGAGAGTAAGAGAGACATAAATGGGTGCTGGACTAGGCAGGAGTTAGCTGAAGGTCGCTGGACTTTGGAATAGTGGAATACAGGTGGAACCAGACAGCCGAGACATGGAAGCGGTAGGCTGAAGAGGGAGATTTTGGTGTTGAAGACGTTTTAAGGTAGACATAAGAGTAACCTTGCAGCTCACTGCTATTCATACCAGCACAAGGAGGAAGACTTAGGTTCTAGCGATGGCCTGAAGATGAAATGTGCACCTGGGAGAAATAGGCTGGAGGTAGACAGGAGAGGAGAAATAGGCTTGGTGCGCCAGCGCTCATTATTCCCTCACTCAGTTAACAAAGTTCGCAATAATTCTGTTTCGCAATACATAATATTGCTTCGCCAAACTGTCTTACTCTAGCAATGGACAGAAACTTGGCTTTGCGTCAAGGGACAGGCGACCTTAACGTAGCGATCTCCCTTAGATATTTGTTGAATAAACCAAACAAATAAAATGTAATCTTGAAATCATGTAAAAACGTGTAAATTAAATTATTTAGTGCGATGGCCAAGTCAATAATTTATGTAAAACGTTAAAGATTTCCTGGCCTGGACTTGGTATTACATGGATCTCACAACTTTTTACCGTAGAACAACTGAGTTGCGAGACTTGGTTTTTTTGACAAGTATTGTTTTTGATGGGATCTTCTTTATTCTTACAGGCAAAGAGCACGTCTGCCGCTTCATCGGCTGCGGTCGCAACGCTCGCTTCAACTACGTGGTCATGCAACTCCAAGGCCGCAACTTGGCGGAACTGCGCCGCGCCCAGCCGAGAGGCGCCTTCTCACTGTCCACCACGCTTAGGTAATCATCATCATCATCATCATCATCATCAGCTAGTGGTGATGAGGCTTCAAGGCCAGAAGATAACGGAGCTAGAGGTCAAGAGGCGCCTTCTCTTTGTCAACCATACTCATCATCAGCTAGGGGTGATAAGACTCCAATGCCAGAAGATACAGGAGCTAGAGGTCAAGAGGCGCCTTTTCACTGTCTACCACTCTTAGGTAATCATCATCATCATCATCATCAGCTAAGGGTGATGAGACTCCAAGGCCAAATAGCGGAGCTAGAGTTCAAGAGGCGCCTTCTCACTGTCTACCACGCCCAAGTAATCATCATCATCATCATCAGCTCGTGGTGATGAGGCTTCAAAGCCAGAAGATAACGGAGCTATAGTCTGGTCCGTGAGCACGTAGATTTTTTTCCAATGACCCCTAGCTACCCATCCTTATCGCTCGCGCGTAATTATGTTGCTATTGCGCTCGCACACTCACTGCGGCCGCCCGTCGCACAGTCGCGACAGCAATATAAATACGCGCGAGCGATAAGGATGGGTAGCTAGGGGTCATTGGACAAAATTCTACGTGCTCACGGACCGGGCTTTAGCAGCCAAGAGGCGCCTTCTCACTGTCTACCACGCCCAAGTAATCATCATCATCATCATCAGCTCGTGGTGATGAAGCTCCAAGGCCAAATAGCGGAGCTAGAGGTCAAGAGGCGCCTTCTCACTGTCTACCACGCTCAGGTAATCATCATCATCATCAGTATCATCATCAGCTCATGGTGATGAGGCTCTAAGGCCAAATAGCGGAGCTAGAGGTCAAGAGGCGCCTTTTCACTGTCTACCACGCCCAAGTAATCATCATCATCATCATCAGCTAGTGGTGATGAGGCTTCTAGGCCAGAAGATAGCGGAGCTAGCGGTCAAGAGGCGCCTTCTCACTGTCAACCACGCTCAGGTAATCATCATCATCAGCTAGTGGTGATGAGGCTTCAAAGCCAGAAGATAACGGAGCTATAGTGTGGTCCAATGACCCCTAGCTACCTATCCTTATCGCTCGCGCGTAAGTATGTTGCTGTCGCGCTCGCACACTCACTGCGGGCGCCCGTCGCACAGTCGCGACAGCAATAAAATTACGCGCGAGCGATAAGGATGGGTAGCTAGGGATCATTGGACAAAATTCTACGTGCTCACGGACCGGGCTTTAGCAGCCAAGAGGCGTCTTCTCACTGTCCACCACGCTTAGGTAATCATCATCATCATCAGCTCATGGTGATGAGGCTCTAAGGCCAAATAGCGGAGCTAGAGGTCAAGTAAGAGGCGCCTTCTCACTGTCCACCACGCTCAGGTAATCATCATCATCATCATCAGCTAGTGGTGATGAGGCTCCAAGGCCAAAAGATAACGGAGCAGCCAAGAGGCGCCTTCTCACTGTCTACCACGCTCAAGTAAATATCATTATTTTAGCCACAGAACAGAGCCTCCACCAATGATTTCCAGAGTAGCCGGTTGGCAGCGGCCTGCATTCAGCATCTTCTCGCAACCTTTACGAGGTCAGTCAGGTCTACCTTTTTGGTGGGTGTCCCACGCTGCGTCATCATTATCATGCATGCAGCACGACCCTCTCTAATTGACCAGAGGCAAGAGCATTTGTCCTACATTCCCCACGCTGGCCAGACGGGTTGGGGAGGCCTGAGCATATTTATCCCTTAGTCGCCTCTTATGACATCACGGGAGAAGTGGGCGTTCCTATTTGACGTAGACTTTTACATTTTTGTCATTTCCTTACTTTGTTTACATAATATTATGTTTTGTTACAGATTGGGTCTACAGATACTCAAAGCGATAGACTCTATCCACTCAGTAGGATTCCTTCATAGAGACATTAAACCTGTAAGTATAAGTAGAATTTTCATACGATTTTTTGTAATAAAAATATACTTAAAATCCTGTCTCAGTACCAGGTTTCACGAGTTATGTATTGTTAAATCACCGTGCTATCACTTGCTGTCACCACAAATAATATTTCGTCAATAGCTAGTGGCTACCGGTCTTTTCATAGTTTGTTTTAATTATTTCCGCGAATTAATAACAAAATTATACATCTAAAGCCTGGTCCGTGAGCACGTAGAATTTTGTTCAATGACCCCAAGCTACCCATCCTTATCGCTCGCGCGTAATTATTTATTTATTTATTTATTTATTTATTTATTTCAATTACACAATTATATTGCTGTCGCGACTGTGCGACGGGCGCCCGCAGTGAGTGTGCGAGCGCGACAGCAACATAATTACGCGCGAGCGAGCTTGGGGTCATTGGACAACATTCTACGTGCTCACGGACCAGGCTTCAGCAGCACTTACTCAATCAGTGCCTGTGGTATGGGAAGCATACAGATCTTAAGAAAATCTGACTGAAATCTCGTTGACGTTTGACGTTACAAAACCACACGCTCCCGTGCCGCTCTCACACCTCAGACACTGACTGAGTTTAGAGTTAGACCTATAATGAGGGCTATCGTTTTAGCGCTCACTAGTTGGCGCCACTGTAGAGTAAGGTCCTGTCACTTGCTAGTAGCGAAAACAGTGGGGCGGCTGGTGAGCGCGAAAGTGGTAGGAGGACTATCGCATTTGCACTCATCAAGATGGCGCCACTGTAGAGTAAGGTCCTGTCAATCGCCAGGGGTGCCAACTGTTAAGTATAAAAACGGGCTATCGTTTTACATAAAAACGATAGCCCTCATTGTAGCAGTTGACATCCAACAATCCGTTATCATGACAGTTACAGCTCTGGAATGTTAGAAGCTATCATGGTTTCAGGGTTGTATTTGTCATGACAACATAATTGTGTTTCCTCAGAGCAACTTCAGCATAGGCCGTCACCCGAGCAACTGCCGCAAAGTGTACATGTTAGACTTCGGGCTCGCGCGTCAGTACACCACCAGCAACGGGCAGGTGCGGCCGCCGCGCGCCGCCGCCGGGTTTAGAGGTGAGCGGACTGTCTTAACGCGCTCACACAACGGTCTTGTTACAAAACTTGAATTATAATCATATTACCACGCAGTTCAAAATGAAATAAAGCTGACTTCAAAAACTGTTTAGGGGTGAGATGGGGTTGTCTAATTACGCTATCACCTAACCAGAGTAAATATAAATGAGTAGGTCATCTTCATAGAAACGCCCGAGCGCGGTTTGTATGTGAGCGCGCCAATACGTATGCGGCGCGCACGCACACACTGACAAAATTTAGCGGGGAGGTGCGCTGACCTAACGGTCTTAGGCAGCTTGTACCACTTTGTGGCCGGTAACAGAAAACGTAGCTATTTGACACCACGATGACGAGACCGGTGGCGACCCCATGGTGTCCGAATGAATCTGATAGTGTGGCAGAAAAATGATTATCGATAAACCGATAGCTCCCACCCGAAAAAATGTCTAATAAATGCTTCAATTTTTCGTAAGTATTTACATAAAGTTGCAAGTGACCTGTAATAAACTCCTTTACACATCACCCTGTATATCACATTAATAAGACAGCTAGGGACTGGAATTCGTTGTCTGCTGCTTTGCTTCCTGAACACTATAATCCTGGATCTCTTTAAGACGATAGTGAATAGGCACTTACAGGGCGGGTATTTACCATACTAGAATGCATCTGACTTAATATCAGGCGTGTTTGCAATCAAATACCTGCTGTTATGCATTAAAAATGCTTTTTTATAATTCACCCTATACAGGGTGTTAGGTAAATGGGTATATGAACCGACACTAGCCCATGTTAACATGGTCATATAAATGGTATGGTGAAATCAGAAATTTGATATCATCATTTTAATTTTTTTAATTTTCATACAAAATTAATTTTATAAAATCCGATTTGTATGAAAAATAAAATAATTAAAACCCTGTATAAAACATGTGTTGTCCGCAGGCACGGTCCGCTACGCGTCCATAAACGCCCACAAGAACAAAGAGATGGGCCGCCACGACGACTTGTGGTCATTATTCTACATGCTGGTGGAATTTGTTAACGGACAGCTGCCGTGGAGAAAAATCAAGGACAAGGAACAGGTGAGGCATAGACAATGATGACGTAATTGATAGATAAATTGACACTAACGCCCGTATTCACAAACATCACTATGAGGTCTCACAGTGCGCGTGGACGCACAGGGTAACACACGAACCAGTCACAGAGTGTGTTGTGTGAGTGTGCGTTCGATTTGCTGCTTCACTTAAGCAAGCATCGTTTGGGAATACAGGTGTAAGTGATGCGAAAAGTGAAACTATCGGTATTTGACCTCGAACAAAATAATATAAGGGTCATTCCACAAAAATATGTCAACTCTTAGTCCGCGCCACATTTCACATGAAATATTTGTTAATATTTTATTCCAAAATTGTTAAATAACAGCTCGCAATGTGCTTTATTCATCACCCATTTATATTTTTTGAAACTATTTTTAAAACATCTTAAATTCCTTTTGAATGACCCAAAACGTCATTCCCTAGGCATGTCCGTACTCCAAAAGTTTGTGTTTTGGGACCCACATTTATAAAAACATCAACTTTATCCTTTGTTTTAATTAACGAATAATCTATTTAAATGTATATTACACCAAATTCTATTAATATTTTGCGGTTTCAATAAACAATAATTTGATTTTCTTTAGTTGAAAAAGAGTCTACAGTTTTTAGCGTCATTCCCTCGCCACGCACTGATTTTATAATTTTGCGCTTTAATATGTATTTAGAGTGAATGACATTTAGTTGAGTTTAAAGTACGATACGAAGTTATCCTCAGACCATACTGGCTTTGCGGTAGCCGTTTTTTGAATTAGTGCAAACGTGCCAGTTGTTACCGAAACATGTGTTAATCCAGTCACTTCGTCAGTCCCTAGTTGAGTAGCTTTATTGATTATAATAGGAAATTGTATATAATTTAATAGTATTTACGTGTGGTTTTTTGGCTATTTTCGGCACATCGTATTAAGCATCTTATAATATAAAGTTAATCTGCATTTGTGTTAAGTTTTACTCCAAATCGTCAGTCCCTAGAGCGTCAGGCCCTAGCTTTAAACGGCACTTGGGACTAAATTACTAGTTAGGGAATGATGTTTTTTATATAGTGATAATAACAAAACAACTACATTATGTGTATTAACTTATCTATAAATGTTAAGGTTAAAAGTTTTATACTTTATTAGAAGTCATATAGGAGTAATGTAGTATGAAAAAATTGAAAATTATAATTTCTCCTAAAATAAAGCATAAAGTGACTGGCCCTTTTAGACATAACATAATTAATTAATAAACAATAATTTACACTAATAAAGTATTCAAAAGCATCTTAAAAAAGTTACGGACAAAATGACGTCGAAAATATACAGATTTTTATGGAATGACCCATAAAACATCGTTATTTTTACGTCCAATAGTAATGACAATATTGTCGAAATTTTCACATCCAACAGTATCGATAATGTTGCCATTATTACTGCCCCCCTAGACAAAACGCACTTGTTGAACGCACGAATCGAAAATCGAATCCGTCAAAACTCCATACAAAAAAGGGGCTTTTCGACCACTTTTCGACTGGTTTGCGATTATAATTTGCACTTTGTCTAGACCAGTGGGTATCGATGCTATTGACGCGTGGTAATTATCTATGACTTAGGCTGAGTTGCACCACCTAATTTTGACCGTGACTTTAACAATAACCGGTGAGTTTTGACAGATTTTTGACGTTTACCCAGCCTTAAATCTTACCCATGTCTGTCGCCATATCAACAATGTTAAGAACATTGTTGTGTTTCGGCAGTTGGAGCTAAGATAGCCACTATGGTTAGTTTCACTATGGTTAAGGATTATAAGAGTTTCACCTGGGTAAAAAAGTTTTCAGCGTTTATAATATGTATCTTACAGAAAGTTACCTTTCAGTTAAGTTACATTCTCCATAATTTCTCTCACAGGTCGGCCTCATGAAAGAGAAATACGACCACCGGTTGCTCCTCAAACACCTGCCTTCAGAGCTGCGCCAGTTCTTGGAACACGTCCAACAGCTGGAATATGCCGACACTCCGGACTATGCCATGCTGACTGCACTGCTTGAACGGTGCTGCAAGCGACGAGGCGTGAGGGATGCAGATCCTTACGATTGGGAGAAGGATGTAAGTGTTTTCAGAAGATTCCAGGTCATATTTATCAGAATTATTTAGGCTTCTAGAACCTTCCAGGTGACATGTACAGAGGAGATACGCCATCTGGAGCCAAAATACAAGCAACCTGAGACTGTAAGAAGGATGTAAGTGCTTCTGGAAACTTCTAGGTCCTTCTAGGTCACCTGTACACTGGACAGAAGTCACACCATGCTGACTGCACTGCTTGAAAGGTGCTGCAAGCGGAGAGGCGTCAGAGATGCAGACCCTTACGATTGGGAGAAGGATGTAAGTGTTCTGAGAGCTTCTGGAAGCTTCTGAGAGTTTCTAGAAACTTCTAGGTCCTTCTGGATCACTTGTGGACAAGACAGAAGCCACACAATGCTCACAGCACTGCTGGGACGCGGCTGCAAGCGGAGAGGCGTCAGGGATGCAGACCCTTACGATTGGGAGAAGGATGCAAGTGTTCTGAGAGCTTCTAGAAACTTCTAGGTCCTTCTAGATTACCTGTGGACAAGACAGAAGCCACACCATGCTGACCGCACTGCTTGAACGGTGCTGCAAGCGGCGAGGCGTCAGGGATGCAGACCCTTACGATTGGGAGAAGGATGCAAGTGTTCTGAGAGCTTCTAGAAACTTCTAGGTCCTTCTAGATTACCTGTGGACAAGACAGAAGCCACACCATGCTGACCGCACTGCTTGAACGGTGCTGCAAGCGGAGAGGCGTGAGAGATGCAGATCCTTACGATTGGGAGAAGGATGTAAGTGTTTTAAGAGCTTCTGGAAACTTCTAGGTCCTTCTAGGTCACCTGTGGACAAGACAGAAGTCACGCCACGCTTATAGCACTGCTGGGACGCGGCTGTAAGGCACGAGGCGTGTGGGATGCTGACTTATATGATTGGGAGAAGGATGTAAGTGTTTTGAGAGCTTCTGGAAGTTTCTAGAAACTTGCAGGTCACCTGTATAGCGGAAACAAGCTCATAGCACTGCACTGAGAAAGACATAAGTGCTTTTGGAAGATTCTAGGTCGTTTTTGAGCTTCTGGAACCTTCCAAGTTGACTGGAAGAAGGATGTGAGTGCTTCTGGAAAGTTCTAGGTCCTTCTAGGTCACCTGTAGACACTCCGGACTACGCCATGCTGACTGCACTGCTTGAACGGTGCTGCAAGCGACGAGGCGTGAGGGATGCAGACCCTTACGATTGGGAGAAGGATGTAAGTGTTTTTAGAAGATTCCAGGTCATATTCATCAGAATTATTTAGGCTTCCAGAACCTTCCAGGTGACATGTATAGAGGAGATACGCCATCTGGAGCCAGAATACAAGCAACCTGAGACTGTAAGAAGGATGTGAGTGCTTCTAGAAACTTCTAGGTCCTTCTAGGTCACCTGTGGACAAGACAGAAGCCACACCATGCTCACAGCACTGCTGGGACGCGGCTGTAAGGCACGAGGCGTGTGGGATGCTGACTTATATGATTGGGAGAAGGATGTAAGTGCTTTTAGAAGATTCTAGGTCATCATTTTCTTTCTAGGAACTTGCAGGTCACCTGTAAAGCGGACACAAGCTCATAGCACTGCACTGAGAAAGACATGAGTGCTTTTGGAAGATTCTAGGTCATTTTTGAGCTTCTGGAACCTTCCAAGTTGACTGGAAGAAGGATGTGAGTGCTTCTGGAAAGTTCTAAGTCCTTCTAGGTCACCTGTAGACACTCCGGACTACGCCATGCTGACTGCATTGCTAGAACGATGCTGCAAGCGGCGAGGCGTCAGGGATGCAGACCCTTACGATTGGGAGAAGGATGTAAGTGTTCTGAGAGCTTCTAGAAACTTCTAGGTCCTTCTAGGTCACCTGTATACTGGACAGAAGTCACACCATGCTGACTGCACTGCTTGAACGGTGCTGCAAGCGGAGAGGCGTCAGGGATGCAGATCCTTACGATTGGGAGAAGGATGTAAGTGTTCTGAGAGCTTCTGGAAATTTCCAGGTCATGTTTGTGCTTCTAGAAGCTTTCAGGTCAGCTGTACACTAGATACCACGCCAGCCACCCTTACAGCGCTGCTAGATCAAGACCATAAGCAACTTGAGACTAGGAGAAGGATGTAAGTGTTCTTAGAGCTGTTAGAGTGTGTTCAGTGTTTTTAGAAGAATCCAGGTCATATTTGAGCTTCTCTAACAGCTGGAGAGTGGTTACAAGCAAACTGCGACTTGGAAAAAGACGTCAATGCTTCTGGAAGATTAGGTCACCTATACGCAAGACAGAAGCCACCCCATGTTTACAGTACTGCTGACCCTTACGATGGGAGAAAAGTGTAAATGTTTCTAGAAAATTCCAGGTCATATATAGGCTTCTAGAACCTTCTAGGTCACATCTACAGAGGAGATACGCCATCTGGAGCCAGCATACAAGCAACCTGAGACTGTAAGAAGGAAGAGTGCTTCTAGAAACTTCTAGGTCCTTCTAGATTACCTGTGGACAAGACAGAAGCCACACCATGCTTACAATACTGCTGGGACGCTGCTGTAAGGCACGAGGCGTCAGGGATGCAGACCCTTACGATTGGGAGAAGGATGTAAGTGTTCTGAGAGCTTCTGGAAACTTCTAAGTCCTTCTAGGTCACCTGTGGACAAGACAGAAGTCACGCCACGCTTATAGCACTGCTGGGACGCGGCAGTAAGTGACGAGGCGTGTGGGATGCTGACTTATATGATTGGGAGAAGGATGTAAGTGCTTTTAGAAGATTCTAGGTCATCATTTTCTTTCTAGGAACTTGCAGGTCACCTGTAAAGCGGACACAAGCTCATAGCACTGCTGGAGCGAGGCTACAAGAAAACGGCAAATAGGAGAAAAGCGTGATTGTTTTCAGAAGATTTGAGCTTCTGGAACCTTCCAGGTCTGATGTACAGAGGATATACGCTGCTAGAGCCAGATTACTAGCAACCTAAGACTGGAAGAAGGATGTGAGTGCTTCTGGAAGCTTCTAGGTACTTAAGACAGGAGCCACGCCAGGGTTACAGCACTGCAGACCCTTACGATTGTGAGAAGGATGTGAGTGTTTTTAGAAGAGTCTAGGTCCTCCTAGGTCACCTACATTATTGACCTACACTCCACGCTGCGCAGATAGATTGGGGTAAGACGTGTGTTTCATCATATAGGTTCGCGCGTTTCAAGTAGCAATTAGAATCTATCGATCAATGAATCGTTTTTATGTGCCGAGAAATAATTATTTTTAATCGAGATATATTCTTTGCTGTGGTTTCGATGCTTTAAACTTAAAGCATCATAGAAGATAGAGATATTTATCTGTGAGATCATGAATTTACGAAAATATACATGGTGTTTGAATAGTATGTGTGTTTCCAGGCGTATTTATGATATATCTCGGAGTGAAGATTGGTGAGAAAATGTATGTGAATGAAATATACTTGGAATGTTTGTATAGTTTAGTAAGATGGTGGTAATCTTTATGTTCAGTAGAAAAAATGTTTATAGTTTCATTGTTTGGAGAGGCGTTTTTATATTTGTCTTCAATTTAATGTACACCATTCAAAACGAAGTAAAAATGCATTGTAAAAAGTCATATTATGTTACCTACATTTTAGTTCATATTTGCCTATATTGGCAACATTGTAAATTAAAAAGAAGTCAACTATTGCACGTTATCTAAACTTCGAATGTTAGCTAGCATTAGCTATAAGTCCACGACTTCGCTTGCGTGGATTTCATTAAACTATTCAAGAAGCATGTGTTATTCGACTTCTCGAACTATCTCTCTTAAGTTATACAAATTGAGAAACACAATAGGTATTAAATCCACAATCTCATTAGTACCAAGTTTTTTTTTTTGTGGCAACCAAATTTACAATCTTTTCAACAACCATCCACGGACTTTCTCGTTAATAATATAAGTTTTTCTCAATGAGGGCTATCGTTTTTATACTTAACAGTGGGCACCACCGGCGATTGACAGGACCTTACTCTACAGTGGCGCCATCTTGATGAGTGCAAATGCGATAGTCCTACAACTTTAGCGCTCACCAGTTGGTGCCACTGTCTTCGCTACTAGCAAGTGACAGGACCTTACTCTACAGTGGCGCTAACTGGTGAGCGCTAAAACGATAGCCCTCATTAGAATTATACTGCCACGTGTGCAAGCAATAAGAACCCTTATTGCAATAATCAACGGTTCAATTTTGTTTCACAGGCGGGCGCCGTATCGCGAGCAAGAGCGTCGGTACACCCGACGCCAGAACACGCCCTGCCGACCGACACGGCGCCTGATAACGTGAGTTGGATTACCGACTTTAACGACATATTAATAAGGGTCATTCACAGTCAGCAACGCCTCTCCTGTGGCGGAGTTTTGGGCTGACGCCGTGTAGGGTTGTTGTCGACACGACAAGAAGAAGAAGTCGACCACTTGAAGAGCTACAACCAGTCCTGTTCATCTCCGCGAATTTACATCGAAAACAAAACACGCACGATGGCCCACCTACAGGATACTATTCGACAAGGCCTCACATACGAGCGAGCATTGACTCACGCACGCGTATTCTTATGTATGATGGAAGAAAATAAAGAAACTGGTGTACTAAATACTGTGCAGTATTTAACTGCCTAAATAATAATAAAAACACAGAATGTACTTTTTTAAGTTGCCTCAAGACACTGAGAGGTAAATAAGTAGTTAATATTATTCATGATAATTCATGCTAAATCATGTATTTCCTCCGCCATTTTCAGCAGTTTGGCACCTCACGTCACATCATTTTACCGAAGTCAGCCCTATAGCTTCGGCGCTGTGCCGATCACTGACGTTTGTCAACGAAATGGTGCTTGACCCTTGAGACAGGCTAAATAAAATGACATTGAGCATACATTTTTTTAAATACCTTCGCGAAGTAAAACTTCTGTACGTAGTACTTATTATTATTCTGTGCTACAACGGCGTCTTATGTATAAATCCGTTCATCCACGAAGACGCGCCCCACCATTCTTCCGCTAATGTTTGAGTGTTATCGGTACACGCTAAATCATCCATGAGTGCACACGCACACTACAATAATGACGCTCGGATTGCTCGGATCAAACTGCCCGCACCCCGCGCGATTGGGACCAAACATTGGTGGGACACATCTTCGTCGATTTTAAAAACACAAACAAAATTTAATTAATTTTGAATCATCTGTAATATAGATTGTTACATCCACGAAGACGCGCATTGTATTTGGCCATTAGTTCTTTTCTCCATTCCATATTTGTTTTACGATAGACGCAATTTGAATGTTTGGTGGTGTGAAATGCTCTATTAAAACATGATTTTTACCTACATTACATCCAATATTTCTTAAATAGAAAGACACGGGTCTTAACGCGATATTTATTAATGAGTTACATTAGTCTGCTTGTGACCACGGCTGCAGCATCGCAGCCGAAACGTCAAGCCGTGAGTACATAACGTAACTCATTAATAAATGTCGCGTCAAGACCATGATATCAAGACCATTAATAAATGTCGTGTATACCCATTATAAGATACACTATACAAGAATGCATGGTAAATTCAGTGATCTGCTCCTGAATCGAATGTACCTACTACTGCTATTTCTATTTATTTATATTAACCGGCAGACAGTGGTGACTGAGTTTGTTGCGGCGCTTCTTCTCAGCACTTGCCAAATGTTGGTCTCGAAGCGCTGGTAGGGTAAAAAGATTATGAGACATGTAGAGGCTCCTTAAGAGCAAAATGACGATTTATAAGAACTATTTATTAGTCTAAACAAATAAAGAAACTTTGACTTTGACCCGTGTCTTTCTATTTGAGTCGAAATGGAACGCGATAGTTTAAAATCGTATATCCTATACCTTACAGACTCGTCGCCGCCTAGAAACGGAGGGCACGACTGGGGTAGCCACCGACACAGCCACCAAAGATCGGGACAAACGTCCACAGCCCGCGTCGCCTCGTCATGCGCCTAAAGAACACCGCCTCAATGGATATGTAAGTAATACCTAACCACCGAGCCACCTATCCCTAGTGCTTTCTAAATAGCCACCAATGACCTTAGGAGCCACCTCATACCAGTAGCGACCTCAGCCACTAGTGGCCACCACTGTCATTAGTGGCTACCTCAGCCACCAGTGGCTACTTTATAGACAGCGACAATGGCTATTCATAGCCACCAAAAAAAAATAAAAAATTAAAAAATAACCAAAGACAGAGACAAGCGTCCGCAGCCTGCGTCGCCTCTTCATGCGCCTAAAGAACACCGCCTCAATGGATACGTAAGCGATAGCCACTGGGCCCATGAGCCCTAGTGCCTTCAAACTAGTGGCCCCCTCCATATAGCCAACAATGGCCACCTCACAGCCTCTAGTAGTGACTTCAGCCACTAGTGGCCACGTTTATAGCCCGTACCTGGTGGCTATAAGGTGGCCTCTGTGACAGTGGCCTCTGTGGTCACTTCGTAGTCACCGACACAGCCACCAAAGATAGAGACAAGCGTCCACAGCCCGCGTCGCCTCGTCATGCGCCTAAGGAACACCGCCTCAATGGATATGTAAGTAATACCTAACCACCGAGCCTAGCCTAGTGCTTTCTAAATAGCCACCAATGACCTTAGGAGCCACCTCATCCACCAGTGGCCACTTTATAGACAGTGACAGTGGCCATTTCATAGCCACCAAAGATAGAGAAGCGTCCACAGCCCGCCTCGCCTTGCCACGCGCCTAAGGAACACCGCCTCAATTGATATGTAAGTTATAGCCACTGGGCCACCGAGCCCTAGTGCGCTCAAACTAGTGGCTCCCTCTATGTAGCCACCAATGGCCACCTCACAACCTGTAGTAGCGACTTTAGCCACCAGTGGCCACTATAGTTCGTATCTGGTGGCTATAAGGTGGTCACTGTGACAGTGGCCTCTGTGGTCATTTCATAGCCACCGAAACAGCCACCAAAGACAAAGACAAGCGTCCACAACCCGCGTCACCTCGCCATGCGCCTAAGGAACACCGCCTCAATGGATACGTAAGTGACAATGATAGCTATAGCATAGCCACTAAGCCACCAGGCCACCGAGCCACCGAGGACCGAGACAGGCCGCCTCACGTGTCAAATGTATCAGTCACAGTTGTAACCACTATAGCCACCAATGGTCTTAGAAGCCACCTTATAGCCACCAGTAGTGACTTCAGCCACCAGTGGCCACCTCAGCCACTAGTGGTGACCTCAGCCATCAGTGGTCACCTCAACCACCAGTGGCCACTTTATAGACAGCGACAGTGGCCTTTTCATAGCCACCAAAGACAGAGACAAGCGTCCACAGCCCGCGTCGCCTCGTCATGCGCCTAAGGAACACCGCCTCAATGGATATGTAAGTAATACCTAACCACCGAGCCACCTATCCCTAGTGCTTTCTAAATAGCCACCAATGACCTTAGGAGCCACCTCATACCAGTAGCGACCTCAGCCACTAGTGGCCACCACTGTCGTTAGTGGCTACTTCATCCACCAGTGGCCACTTTATAGACAGCGACAGTGGCCTTTTCATAGCCACCAAAGACAGGGACAAGCGTCCGCAGCCTGCGTCACCACGTCATGCACCTAAAGAACACCGCCTCAATGGATATGTAAGTGATAGCCACTGGGCTCTCATAGCCACCAGTAGCAGCTTTAGCCACCAGTGGCTAACTCAGTCACCAGTGGCCACTTTATACAAATACTCCATATTACCACAGAAAAAGTAAAAATATATTATTTTTTTTTGTTACAGTCAACCACAGACAAGCCGACTACAGAAAAGGAAGCGGAGGTCAGGACGACGCCCGCGCCCTCTCCCGACAGACATGCCAAGGTGAGACCATAGAGTAGACTATAATCATCAGTGGGTCTAGACAAAGTGCAAATTATAATCGCAACCCAGACGATAAATGGTCGAAAAGCCCCTTTTTTGTATGGAGTTTTGACGGATTCGATTTTCGATTAGATCAAAAAGTGCGTTTTGTCTAGGGGGGCAGGTCATTTAGTCTCCACTGATTGATTTTGATTTTGGAATTTCTTTATTTGCATAATTGACATACATACATGTTTAGTTAGTACATGATAACTTAAAAGCTAGCGTTTTTTATAGACTTAATAGTACGTCTTTATAAAACATGCAACATAATCATTTAATTTAAATCATAAAAAAGAAACAACACAATAGCTACGTTGAATTTAAACACTTAGTCTCCACTGCAGGAGCACCTCCCTCTTACTTGAGAAAAGAGGCAAGAGGAAAGAAAAAAGAAAGAAAATAACTTTATTTTGGCAACATACTCAGGCAACAAAGACATACATAAAAAAATGAACAAAGTTGCCAAAAAAGGTCAAGGAGTTGACAAAGGCCTACACTCCCCACGCTAGCCAGAACGGGTTGGGCAGGTTTAGATATTTTTGGAAAAGAAAGAGGCCGTTTTTTACCCACAGAACAGATATTTTTACCCATCTGACCTGATAGGAAAGATGAAGGGATCATTGAGGTGGAAGCGACATTCATACGAAATCCTCAACCACAAGGGACTAGGGAGGTTATCGTACCTCCAACATGGTTGGAGACATGTGAGATGTTAACATTGTATTCCCTCCCAACCAAGGGACGTCCACTGCTGGACAAATACAAATACCTCTCCCATGACCCTGAATAGCGACGATCTCACGTAAAGACGTCTTTCAATCTTCACCAGATCGTCGGTCCACCGAGTGGGGGGCCTGTCTACACTCCGTCTTGCGATCCATGATCACCAATCGATAACTTTCTGCCCCAATATTTCGATATTCGCGCAAAGTTCTTGAGTGGCGACCACGAGCCGGAAGACGTAGTGTGGACAGGCCTCCCACTAGGTGGACCGACGATCTGGTGAAGGTCGTGGGAGGTGCCTAGATGCGAGCGGCGAAGAACCGGTCTTTGTGGAAATCCTTAGGGAAGACCTATGTCCAGCAGTGGACGTCTTTCGGCTGGAACGAACGATTTCGATATTCCATATTTTCTAATGTATCTTAATGTGTGTGTTGTTCGCAGGAAACAAGCAACTCTGTGGTTACTGGTGCGACAACAAATAGACCAGAGAGACAAAGCGTGCCGCCTTGCAAACCACGCGCGCCTGCTCCTGGTAAGTCCAATGAAATATCTTTTATTACATTTCGGCCAAAATTGGGCTTTTGTGAACGTCAAAAACATTAAGGCTGAGTTGCACCAAGTAACTTTAACGGTAACTAATGACGATAACCGGTGCTTTTTGTAAGGATTTTGACAGATTTTTGACGATTGTCAAAGTTAAAATAAGATGGTACAACCCAGCCAAAGAATTAAATAAATGTGTAAGGCCAATACTAGGACCATTGGCGTGTCTCCAAAAGAGCTGGACGCCTATGGCTAGGAGACCAGTATGAGGTTATTCATACTTCTTATTTTTATGAAACTATCCAGTATCAGTTGCTGAAACTCTTATGTAACCAGGTTTTACAGCCTGGTGACCCTCTAAAATCTTTTGAAGCAATATTTACAAAGATAGTATTGGACGACAGTTTCGTTGATGAGTACAATGTATCCCAACAGAACTTTTGGACAGCTTTTCACACAGTTAAATTATTTGTAACCTTCTACCAATGACCTCCCCCCACACATAGTTCGTGTATCTGCAAAAACATACACGTGACTTTGACATTACAAAAATAAAGTCTACCCAGTAACAAGCATTATTTCCATCCGCAGTTGGCGGGCCGACACTGTCTCACTTGTTAAATAACTGGTTTCTTGTGTTTCATAAATGAACCCTACTCTATTGCAATAAGCATCATTTCCGTCCATAGGCGGCAGGCCGACACTAGCTCGCTTGTAAAATTTTTGGTTTCTAGTGTTTCAAAAATGAACCTTACTCCGTTGTAATAAGCTATTTTTCCGTGGCCGACGCTGGCTCGCTTGTAAAATCTTTGGGTTCTAGTGTTTCAAAAATGAACCCTACTCCATTGTAATGATTCAAAAATGAACCCTACTCCATTGTAATAAGTATCATTTTCGTCTACAGGCGGCGGGCCCACGCTAGCTCGCTTGTAAAATTTTTCGTTTCTTGTGTTTCAAAAACAAACCCTACCCCGTTATAATAAGCTATTTTTCCGTGGCCGACGCTGGCTCGCTTGTGAAATTCTTGTGTTTCAACTTTAAAAAATAAACCCTACTCTATTGCAACAAGCATCATTTCCATCCGCAGTCGGCGGGCCGACACTGTCTCACTTGTTAAATAACTGGTTTCTTGTGTTTCATAAATGAACCCTACTCTATTGCAATAAGCGTCATTTCCGTCCATAGGCGGCAGGCCGACACTGGCTCGCTTGTAAATTTTTTGGTTTCTAGTGTTTCAAAAATGAACCTTACTCCGTTGTAATAAGCTATTTTTCCGTGGCCGACGCTGGCTCGCTTGTAAAATCCTTGGTTTCTAGTGTTTCAAAAACAAACCCTACCCCGTTATAATAAGCTATTTTTCCGTGGCCGACGCTGGCTCGCTTGTAAAATCCTTGGTTTCCAGTGTTTCAAAAATGAACCCTACTCCATTGCAATAAGCGTCATTTCCGTCCATAGGCGGCAGGCCGACACTGGCTCGCTTGTAAAATCCTTTGGTTTCTAGTGTTTCAAAAATGAACCCTACTCCATTGTAATAAGTATCATTTTCGTCTACAGGCGGCGGGCCCACGCTAGCTCGCTTGTAAAATCCCTGGTTTCTTGTGTTTCAAAAATTAACCCTACTCCGTTATAATAAGCTATTTTTCCGTGGCCGACGCTGGCTCGTTTGTAAAATCCTTGGTTACTGTGTGTGTGTAGTGTTTCAAAAATGAACTTTACTCCGTTGTAACAAGTATCATTTTTCGTCTACAGGCGGCGGGCCCACGCTCGCTCGCTTACGCGTGGTAACAGCGCCCCCTACGTGCGTGCAAGAGTTAGCAGCGCAAGCCTCGCCTCATACTCCAGGTAGTTGTATTTTGTTCTTTAGCATTTCATCATCATCATCATCATCATTTCAGCCACAGGACGTCCACTGCTGAACATAGGCCTCCCCCAATGACTTCCACATCGCACGGTTGGTAGCGGCCTGCATCCAGCGCCTTCCCGCTACCTTTATCAGGTCATCGGTCCACCTTGTGGGTGGACGTCCCACGCTGCGTTTTCCGGTACGTGTCCTCCATTCCAGAACCTTGCTGCCCCATCGGCCGTCAGTTCTGCGTACTATTTCATCATCATTTCAACTAAAACAGTCGTGACGATAGTTTTAAAGATAGATTTATCCGAAAACGTATTATGCGAATTCATAAATGTTGTATGGATTGAAGAATTTAGTCCCTACAACATCTTTGTAACATTATAAAATGCATGAAAAATCAGTGAATGGTCGCAAAAAATTTGTTCATACTAGGGGGTCACTAATGGACAGTGGACGTTCTTTACTGGACAAATGACGTCCACTACTGGACAAATGACGTCCACTACTGGACAAATGACGTCCACTACTGGACAAATGACGTCCACTACTGGACAGTGGACGTCCTCTACTGGACAGTGGACGTCCACTACTAGACAAAAGATGTCCACTACTGGACAAAAGATGTCCACTACTGGACAGTGGATGTCCTCTACTAGATAAAGGTCGTCCTCTATTTGACAAAGGTCCACTACTGGACAGTGGACGACCTCTACTAGATAGTGGACGTCGACCACTGGACAAAGGACGTCCATTGCTGGACAAAGAACATCCACTACTGGACAAAGGACGTCCATTACAGGACAGTGGACATCCACTACTGGACAAATGACGTCCACTACTAGACAAATGACGTCTACTACTGGACAAAGGACGTCCACTACTAGACAAAAGATGTCCACTACTGGACAAAAGTCGTCCACTATTAGACAAATGACGTCCACTACTGGACAAAGGACGTCCACTACTAGACAAATGACGTCCACTACTGGACAAAGGACGTCCACTACTGGACAAAGGACGTCCACTACTAGACAAATGACGTCCACTACTGGACAAATGACTTCCACTACTGGACAGTAGACGTCCACTAAAGGACAAAGGACGTCCACTACTGGACAAAGGACGTCCTCTACTGGACAAAGGACGTCCACTACTGGACAAAAGACGTCCACTACTGGACAGTAGACGTCCACTAAAGGACAAAGGACGTCCACTACTAGACAAATGACGTCCTCTACTGGACAAAGGACGTCCACTACTGGATAAAAGACGTCCACTACTGAACAAAGGACGTCCACTAATAGAGAAAATATGTCCACTACTTGACAGTAGACGTCCACTAATGGACAAAGGACGTCCACTACTAGACAAAAGTCCATTACTGGACAGTGGATGTCCTCTACTGGACTAAGTCGTCTACTACTAAATAAAGGACGTCCACTTCTGGACAGTGGAAGTCCTCTAAAGTTTTTAGCTAATAAAGTAAAGTAAAAAAAAATGTTTTTTATGTAATTACCTTCATTAGTCTTTACTTACTTACTATAAAAATAAGTTTATAAGATAATCTTATTTTATCACATCATCTAATGACCACGGTATACCGTTTGCGGAACACTGCTCTACTGGACAGTGGACGTCCACTACTAGACAAAAGATGTCCACTACTGGACAAAGGACCTCCCCTAGTACTAACTTGAGTGACTTTATTCCAGGCGAAGCAGCCAGCCCCAGAATCGTAGCCGATGTGGACAGTGTACATTCGGACACGCACTTTAAGAGAGGTCAGTGTGTTAATAAAAATACTTACCCCCTTACTAGTAAAAAGTTACACAGTTGTTGAACACTGTTATAAATGACATTTCCATACTAAACGTCACTTTAAAACACTGTTCAACGAGCGTGTAAGTTTTATTAGTAAGGGGGTAAGTGATTATTTTTTTAAATAAGTCAGAGAAAATAGTTTTTGTTATACTTGTAAGTACCATTTACTTATCCATATAGTGTATTAGAATACTGCATAGTCCGCGCCATAAGCATCATAAATTCAATTTGTAAATAAAGATAGGTTTACTCAAAACATCAATGTTATTCGGCTTTGTTACCTAAATGACCCGTTTCTATTGGCACGGGGAAATTCGAAATAATAACACAGAATTGACAAAATCCGGTCGCCGAGCTCATAGAATTTCGTTCAATGACCCCAAGCTACCCATCCTTATCGCTCGCACACTCACTGCAGGCGCCCGTCGCACAGTCGCGACAGCAACATAATTACGCGCGAGCGATAAGGATGGGTAGCTTGGGGTCATTGGACGATATTCTATCTGCTCGGCGACCGGACTTTAGTAGCGCACTCCTGACAATGTGACAGCTCAGACTGTTCAGTGATGGACAACTGTAT